CAGCAGCAGTAAAACCACAAATGTGCTAATTCAAGCTATCATTCACCTTTAAAACCTGTTTCACTGTTACTTGGTCATTTAACTTCAGAAGACCAGTCATACTCTTGGCCAGTTCCTCATGAACAGTCCTTTCTTCAAATGATTTGGTCCTGAACACATACTGAAAAAGAGAGGAAAAATAAAAGATTACCAATATGTACATTACAACCAATATATAAAAACTGAGTAGAAGATAAATTATTTATACACCACTAACAGCTGACAATCTTTGCCGCCAGAATACCTCGACTGAACAATACATTCACATCAAATTTAATTGCCCTAACAGTAATGGCACAGCACTGCTCCCCTACAAAAACCCAGCTTTAAACACAACTTCCTGTTGATTCCAGCTTAATGCAAACCAAGAGGAATTTCTGCTTAAAATCAGTGCTATGGTATATTTCTTCAACAGGGCATAGGATCCTGACACCTCTTAACTGCCTTTCAAGCCATTTCACCAGGGAAAAAAAAAGAATAAACAAGCAGAGGAAGTACGGAGGGGTTTTCATCCACTTAGTCAGGGCCACCTTTCACTTGCTCCTTTCTTACAGGGGCAACAGCTAGTCAGAGATGCTAAAAACTCTTCATCCTGAAAGGCGTAGAGCACCCACTGGAGCTGACAGAAGGGGAAAACTATACCCGTTTTAGAAATAAAGCCCTCAAGAGAGGAATTTATCTACCAAGTTGCTCGGAACGCATAAACCTAGTATGAGTTTTATTCAATATTTTAAGCTAATAACTTGGTACTAGGATCCATTACTCCTTCCCTAAAGCAAGAGCTCTGCCAGTCCATCAGCTGGGATGAAATACCTTTTCAATTAAACCAGGTAGGTAAAAGAAAGGAATGTCATTTGAAAATGTCTTATTAATATCCTGCTTTGTTTCCAGAGCAGATGCGACCAGATTCTCCCTACGCAGTTTGACACTTCTGGGTCCAGTTATTTAAGTCAGTGTAATTTCGCATTGTTATTGCATCTGAGCGACTCAATTCTCAACTTATTTATTCCCAAAACAGCATTTCTAATGTAGTTATTCATTTCCTTACAGCTGGATAAAAGAGATTAAGTTATTGGCTTTTGACTGCTGCTGGAAATGGACTTTTGGTGTGGCCTAATAATCACCTGTTATTTCAAAGATATTTAGCCACAATAGGTATCTATTGCAGTTTTGAAAAGTTACTGAGTAGAAAAGGTGTTAATAACCATTTAATTAACTACATTTAAATGCTACATAGGTTATTTATTTTAGAGCCTGAACAGTTCTGCTGGACCTCAGCAGAATTCCTCTTAATTGGTGATTAAAACTTAAATCGGAGTACTTGAGACTCAAATTTGACTACTAAGATGCTGAGATGCATCACCTGTAAACACACACTTTCATGAAGTATGAAAGTAAATCCATACCATGGAAATACCAACCAACAGTTGCCAACACTGAAATTAAAAGTTTTCCTATTTAGTAACTGAACTCCTACTATATTTTCATTATTCTACCCATGAACATGCTAAAGTTTCAGAGTTCATGAGGAATGCAGGAATGTATTTGCTCTCACTTTAGGAATAAAGTTAATTAAAAAAACCCAACCACCCAAACGCCCCAAAACTTATGTCATATATATTACTTATAATCCACAAATGAAATGTACGTTATGAAAACTACTTGTTGCACTGTGAATCAGAATATCATGATAGCCAGAAGCCCATACAGACATTTGTGACTTATAGCTTCTTTCCATGACTGTGGGAGATCTCTCATTGCTATCATGACCTCCAGTCACCACTGAACCAGAGCAGGCCAAGGGACAAAGTGATGGCAATATCTACTTCATCAATTCTTCTAACAACCTGCAATTCTCCTCTATGCTGGTATTTGAAATACATAAGTAAGTTAATAAACATAACACTCAAGGACATTACAACTTACATGCAACAAATAACACATTACTCATTACTGATTCACCTAGTAAGACTAGAACAAAATTCTCCAGCCCTCTCCCCCGTGATTAAAAGGAAGAGAAAAATATAAAGCCAAGTGAAGGGAAACAAATGTGTAATACTCTTAAATGAGGTTCATTTTTCTATTAATTTTTCTGTCCATGCCAGTAACAGCAGTTAATTTTCTTCTACTTAAAAACATGCTGCTTCATAAAATTCTCAGCTTATAAAGCTGTTACCCAAATATGCTGTTGAAGAGACATTTGCTGGCCAATAGCATTATTCATAGTCATTTAATGGAGATATAGTTGATACAGATAGCAAGGAGATCATCTTTAAAGAGGCCACTCCTTTGACTTTTTAAGTAATAGTACAGCTTGCCCAGAACCAAACTCCGTACACAGAACATATCCATAATATTCTACATACACCATCTTCTTCAAAACAATAACAGATGAAAAAAGCTGGGCAAACATAGAACTGTTACAAGAATCTAAACTCCACAGATGAGAAAAGAACTTATGTACAATAGCAGACGCAAAGACACCGGATCTTGCAACTAAAATAATGACTTAAGAAAATAATGAAAAGCTGCATTAAAAATCTATAGCTTCCTAAGAAACATACAGCCATCTTGCAACCATGAAGATCACCCAGAAGTACCTCTCCCATAAAAATTACCACTTGTGGATCCTTTTCAACTACAATGAGGGCAATACAGATGGCCTAATACTTAAGAGAGAGAAATCTCGTCACAATCAAGAGGAATGCTGTGAACTGTGAGCAAACTACATTAAATGCCTCTCACCGGTATCTATCTAGCTGAACTCTCATGGTCTTTCATGTATTTCTCTCCCCCTTCCCTCCTCTCAAACCCAGCAAGGAAACCTGGAAAATTCTGTTTTACACCGTTTCAAAGGCTGATGCTAAGCCTACGCTCCCAGCAGCTCAGTGGAAGTGCATTTGCACTAGGTCTTGCTTCTAAAATGAAACCTCTATTCATCAGCCAACTATGGGGAATTGTCCTTCCCACATCCCTGTACGCTATAAGAGTGCACTGCAGTTTCCTCCCCCTGTGCTTGCTCAACTTGGTGTCCTATGGAAAGCAAGCTGCACCATGCAGACGAGACACGAGCATCCCTCTGTCCTCCTCAGAGTAGGGTTGCGAGCCAGGATGCAGCCAAGTTTGGTGGAGGACACTCCAAGGAGTGTCCCTGCTCTACAGGATGGCCTTAAAGCACAGACAGGCAGTGTAATTTTTTCAAGGTGACACAAGAAACTTATGGCAGAGGAGAACTGACTCAACCTCTTCCAAATCTTACGTTAGTTCCCAAACCAGAGTCACCCATCCTACTAGCGGCAGAAAGCTATGATGCAAATGCAGAGAAAGCTACAAACAAGTACAACTAAAGAGTAAACAGGAAAATAACCCTGAAAAACAACCCCCCCCACATAAAATAGTTAACAGTATAACAGCAATCATACCGTCACATAAGAACTGATGCAGTTGTCTAGTTGTTCTTCGTGGCACTTAGCAACAATGTTAGTAAAAACCCTGCAAGATAAAAAAAGAAAAAGAAAATAGAGCTGTTCTATGTCATAAAGCTGAGAAAGTCTATCTGATGCATCACATTGTTCTGTTATTGTAACCTCATTTAAAACAGTCCATAAGAGATGTGATCCAAATGATAAATAGCACATGCAGAAATTGTCCCACTGGGAAAACACAGTCACTCCTTGGGCCCTCCACTTGCATGGAAGGTGCTATCATACATGCATTCATCTAACAAAATGCATCCGGTTTTAATGATTGTAACCGTATTGACATTACAACAAAAGAAAACAACTAACTAAAGCTTAGATAGACCTTGGATAATCAGGAATAAGAAAAATTAGAGCATGTTAATGAAAGAGAGAGGCAAGACCCTCTTTCTCTGGGAATGCTACTTGTCAGGTTCTCTCAGATCTTGGTAATTCTGTAAAGCTCTGATAATTTGCTTATGACAGCACTGTTAATCAAAGACAAACACAAGCCCAAGCTCAAGCCTGACCATGCCCCTCTGTTTGCCCGTAACCTTGGGCTCAGCCCCAGCCTGAGTGCCCAAGCACTCAGGAACAAAAGGCGGAGCACCGCATCCTCTCATCGCTGCGCCGCAGGGAGAGGCTGGACACTTGGTGCAACCATAGATGCTTTGAGCTTCTGCAGATCAACTTGGTGATCAGCAACATGGAAGGAAGTTGCCTGGGTCATGTTGGCACCCACTCTCACAACCTGAGCTTCTACTAACTGCGGAGATTGCACCACTTGAGATTTGGCAAGGTTTTCTCTTCAGTTTGTACCTCGGCCCTCTTTGAGATCGTCCTGTTTCAGAAAATACAAGTCTTCTTCAACTTAATCATGGGATTTCCTCCTGATTATTGGGATCTCAAGGGGGAGGAAATAGCTCATGATTCTCAAATGTTAAAAATTAGTGAACCACACTTCAAATTCAGGGGTATGCAAAATACCAGCATGACTAAAATGGATTATTAATATGCCTGACTGTGGTCCACATACAGTCATTTTGACTAGCTTGGTGCTTTAAGTGTTTTCTGCCAGTTCTTATTATTGGATTCAAAAGCATTGTAATTCTTTTCATTCAGAATTTTTCATATGTATCATTTCTTATTGTTAGTAGGAGATGTAAAACTTGTAGCAAAACACAAAAGCTATGACAAAATGAGTTGTGCCCATGCTGTTCCTTCAGCCTGTATTCTGATTTGAAATTGAAATGAGTTCTGGCAAAGGTGAGACAGAGAAACGATGACATGACTGGGCCCCCAGACAAGTAAATAACCATGAGAGAGTATAAAAGGAATAATGTTTTCTCCCCAACACATAAGCCAATCTATGCTCTCATTCTGTTGTTGTTGCTTTTAATATGTTCAACACAAGCTGCTTCAAGCTATTCAGAAAAAAATACAATGTGTGTATATATAGGACACATCAATGAACGCCACACACAGCAGACATGCATATTCCCCTTGACATCAACTCTACCAGCACAAAAGCTACCACACATACAAGAAAAACCCTGAGAATACCTCTTTTCTTTTTTTTTTTTTTTTGGCCAGGTGGGTGTATAGTCAAAATCTGAAGCATGAAAAAAATTAACATCCTTCCATTTTTCCATTTAATCATTAAAACCTTTTTTTTTTAAACAGCTGCTGCTTCTTTTCCAATCAGTTAGCCGACACTGAAATTCTAGCCTGGGACACAATTCTTCATTCTCTCTTATCTAGCCCTAACATCAGTTGATTTGTTGGCCATAAAGAGGTTCAGAACAAAGCTCTGACTGCCTCTCTTCCTTTGAAAACAGTATGCAGTGATGAAATCACACGTTTACAAGGAAAGATTCTTCTAATCCTAGTGCCTAGGTGTGGTAAAACTGGACTTGCCCTGCAAGGTGCCACGATCCTTTGACAAGGGATATCGAAACTCTAGCTTTCCAAGGCTAAGATGAGGAATTCTGCTTCCTTGCTCCTTTAAGTTTTCCTAATTAATCTTTCTTCAGGAACTAATCTGAAGAACAATCTGTGGAAAGAAAGAAAATGTACTGACAGCAGATTAGTCTAACAGGTTGCTGAGGACAGTTGTCACTTTTATTCCTACTAGTTGTAGTGTAGTCCCCATGTTTAGCTACTGGCAGAAGTACAACAAAAACACCGCTATGGCCAGAAGGAAATGCAATGCAACTTTCTGCCCTCCTACAGAGACCAGTAATAATCTCTCCAATATTTTTTTCCTGCTGCCCTGATTAACAGCATCAATAAAGACAATTTCATTATGCGAGGGGTGAAAGACTCAGCAAATCATTCCAGCTGTTTGCCTGCTCACTGGAAAATCCTTCAACTGCTCTTCAGTTATTGCTGATATAGTCTAATTAAAAAATGCCCCAGAACAGTGTGACCTGGTTGTTTGACTCTGCATTGCATGCTGCAAGATCCTAAGCTCTTCCTATGCTGAACTCCACAACCTCAGACCCAAACATACATCAAAATTCATATTCAGCTTTGTCAGGAAGCAGTTCGCTCCTTAAGAATGAGACCTTTACCTATGATTGCCTCAGGGTACAGACACATCCACCATGTCAAAGATCTCCTGGTTGGTATCAGCGCTCTTCCATGCATTATTTGCAGAGCCCTGTGTCAGGGGGGAAGCCGGCATTCTTGCCTCCTAAAGTCTAAATGTCATAGTCAGTCTTTGTGAGAGCAGCTATAATTGGACTAACATTTACATTTACACTCTAGAGTGAATTCTTTCCCGTTCACAGAAATTATTCAGATACCTGGTCACAGCCGTTGTAACTTCATCATCACTGTTTTGCACCAAAACCCAAAAGAGTTGATTCAGGACTACAGGAAGAAAATTCATAATTACGTGGATCTTCTCGATCCTCAGCAAATTCTGTAACAGATGTAAGAAAGAAAATGAGAGATTTCCAACACGAGCAATGAAATCTGGTTACTTGCTTTCCCGCTTCAGCAGGGAAAATGCAGTGCAGCCACTGGTGGAATACCAGCAGAAAAACAGGACAACTATGTAGAGGACCAGTTCTGATGTAGTTTGTTTTAAATACAGCCATCGACACAACTGTAGTTATTGTCCAAATTTCAGAATTCCGATGTTTTGCTCTACCCCGACTTAAGGAAAAAAATATTTAAAACCAGAGAAACCAAAACCAATTTTCATATTTCACTAAGGATATGTATGTAAGAGCAATAAAAGAACTTAATTACTATTTTCAAGACATGCATTACCTAATATTTTTAGGAAAACTCATTCTTTTTATGCAGAGATCTGATAACGAACTTGTTGTGTCTAAAATACTTATGTTAAAAGCACATTGGTAAAAAGTAGTATTAACACTCTAACCTGACTGGACTGATGTTATATTATCTTCTCTGATGAAGGAGGATATTGAGCTTTTGATAAAAAAAACACCCTCTGAATTCTCCCTAGATTTTCATTTCAGTCATTTCCAAATGTTTCCAGAGTTTCTTCAGAGGTATTAGTGATTTATAAATAAAAGCAAAATACTCTGGGGAAAATTACTTATTCCCTGGTTATATTGCATAATTGATCCCTTGTCACATACAACATTGTCTCCATTGTCTAATAAAATTACTGAAATCTTTTTAAAAGGTAAACCACAAACAGCAAATAAAGAACAATGCAATGCTTTCAGTTTAGGTAACTGATTTACTGTCTAGAAAGTTGTGAAACTTTTATGAATTCCTAAACTTTGACCGATATGCTCAATGGCTTCCCAAAAATTACTAGTTAAGGACTTCATTCCATAGAGGTATAATCTCTAAATAACACTGATGATTTGATTTTTGAAAACATCCCTTAGTAATTTCTTTAAATCAAGACAGCATTTAAAAACAAAGCAACCCCTTTCAGGTCTACTTGCATCTATCAACAAATGTAGTAGGCATCTTTAGGGACTTGCCCAGAGAATTGCCATGATTTACTGGAACTTAGTGTTTGTTTATTAAAGCAAATATCTCTTCCCGAGCAGCTTTCTAAAATCTGATTAAGGTACACTCGAACAGGAAAAGATTAACAACGAAGGAAAGGGGGAAAGCACCTACATGCCGGTAACATCGAAACCCCAAAACACCTATTAAATTTTACAGACGCTGAAGGGAAAAATAATGAAGAAAAATCATACGTATCATGTATTAGAGCTAGTACTGTGGAACAGTGTCACAGCTACCCTTGTGAGTCTTCTTGCTTATCCTCCTGTTGAAGTTCAGCAAGCAGATTGCAAAGCGAGAACGCCAAATTTCACCATTCATAAACAGGTAAAGAATCATGGCCCTACATTTACCTCCTCCTCTTCTAATTTGCTTGTTATACTCCTCCTTTCCCACAGCTTTTGACCTCAACTGAATACAGTCACATTTAAGGCAGGTCTTGCTTACATGCTTCATCTCTGCAGAAAGGGTATGTCCTTTCTGATTTCAGAACTCGACAGGCAACAAGTACTCTTTGTATAGCATCCAGGTTTTTAGAGTGAAAGTGTGAAGAGCCAATTAGGAGGTAAGAATACAACGTATCCAAGGCAAGAGAAGACTAGCAGGAATACTGCAGCTCTGCAGGCTGTAGCTCCTTTTCCTAGACATTCGTAGAGCAACACCGCACCACCCTTTAACAGGATTTGAGGGCCAACATAGGCTGGATTATCCCAGTTGATGGGGCAGATGCAGCCATGCTCTAAACGCGAGGGGATAGGAGACAGCTCTGTGACCAGCAATCCATCTGTCACATCAAGTAAGTCTAACTGGAGCTGTCATGGACCCTTGCTTCCTGGTAAGTTTACGCCATGTTTAGAATTGTGCAGTGATGGATCAGTTGAGAGAAAGCCCTCGATGCAATTTTATAGCACAGTTCGTGCTACGGGTTACTTTACCTTACAGGAATTGATAAAGTTTGAGGTAGGAGGCTGGGATAGATCCTTTTCCCTTTCTTGGCACTGATGGAAAAAGTTATTCAGGTATGGATCCTAAAACGATAAACAATCACATTAATGTATATTATAGAAAGGATTAGGATGCAGCTCCATAAATTGGTTACACCAATCACCTATGATACTGAAGAACACACTTGGTCCCTACCACCTTAGACATAAAGCACAAAAAGACAGGTAAATTATTTTGCCCAACCCATTGGCCAGCACAACTTGCTATATACAACTTATTTCTAGGTGCTTTGACCACTTTTTTCAGTGTTGCGAGCAATTATTTCTTCACAATCCAAGGAATTTCAATGGCCACATTTTTTTTTTCCTCCTGGTGCCCACAATTAATTTTCTTGCCGTTTAAACAGATATTCCACAATTTTTCTGCTGGTATAATCTTAAATAATTAATATTTTTCCTTGAAGTGTGTATTCCATCATTGTCATCTTGCCCTTCTACATTCAAATAACCTTTAAATGTTAGAGAAACAAATTCATGCAAGATTTTAGAACATCTTTCAGACATTCCTTGACACTTTTTGTTTGTAAGCAGGTAACACAGCCAAGAGGAAATTCAGCTTACCTGAGTATTTACTGTTGATACAACAAAAGTAGAGACTTTGAAAAGTGGTTTCCCACTATCTACCCATTTTACATCACAGCTGATCTGCTATTAAAACAAAAACAAATAAAAATACGTTTTTCCACTAATTTCCTACTTACTCAAGTCTGCATCAAATTTTCACTGCATAGCTTTGCACGTGGGCATGCATGAACTGTGCTGGCTACTGTGCTTTCGCAATTGCAGAATTATTGCAATACAAACCCACTTTTCAGCCCGAGCCCATGAACATTATCATTCAAGGGACCAGATCTCTGCCCCACCCTGTCCTCATGACAATAGTAAAACAAACACAAGAAGGCAGAAATAATCCAAGCTGGACAGGATCAGTGGGAAAATATGATATCACACCACAAAACTGGAGAATGAATCATGGTCGTGGATCACGTCAGCTGGAGAACGAATGTCATATGGCCTGAGTTTGTGAAAAGTGTTCCTTTTGACCACTCATTCAAGTTTTGGAAAATTTAGGTATTTTACTGCGGAATACACAGTTACAAAATACACTTTTTCCATATACACCTGTGAATCAGCAACATACAACTGTCGGTTCTGTGGTACATATATTAGTTTATCTACTCAATGATATGCACATGTATATTCTAAAACATATACCCTATTATCTAATCTCATGTAAAACACCTACAAATAAATGCTCTGCACCATTTGAATAATATGAAAGTGTGAATTAATACCTTTCCACTAGTTGGTTCTTGAAGGCTCAAGTAATTGGGAGGCAGACTGCTTGCCACTGGCACGTTATGTTCTTGGGACGCTAACTGGGCATCTTTCAACAAAGGAAGCCATGCATATCCCACTGCGCACAAGAACAAATCAATATGACTCTTTGGAAAAAACAAGCTTCTCAAGTTCAGAGGAAGACAATAATTTCCAGCCAGAAATTCTGCAATCCTTATTTGAACGTACATCGTTTATATTTATAATTGAAAGTAATTCTACTACAGGTACCTGGTGTTTCCAGAGCCTCTTTCTTTTTGGCATTAGCTTTTGCATTTATGTCACAGGTGACATGATAAAATGAAAACAGAATGTGGTGTTTCTTATGGAGTTGAGTGGGAAGTTCAATTTTCACCTGAAATGTAAAATGTTACACCTCGCTTTAGTTTAAAAATCGATTAAACCAGGCATCAGAGATGGTCTCAATGAGTGACATCTCTCTCTACACAGAGGTCTAAGTACAGCCTACCTGTACTAGCTAACGTTTGTCTGCATGTGTAATAGAAGCTCTCTTAAAGAAATTGTTTAGGATGACCATCCATCACTTCTGCTTAAAACAGCTTTTCCCCTCTCTGTCTTGTGGATGAATACTTGCATTTATGATGAAAGAGCGTAAGATGAAAGAGGACAGAACTCAAGAGTGATGGACCCTGCTTAGAAGTGATCACCTGCACTCTAGAAGCCATAAATAGCCATCACCCTTCCCGTATTTTCAGAATGACCAAATCAAAATCTAAAATGACTCCTCTGCCACTGCTTCATTGTCATTTCATGGCAAAGACCAAATAATAGAGGCTGACATGAAAATAAACTTGTATTTACTATTTCTGCTCAGTCTTAAATCCCATATCATGTCATCCATGAATCCCTACAGATTGGGTTTGAAGTATTACTAACCTATTGGAATAAAATACAAAGTAATCAGAATATGTTACCATAGGGAGTAATAAAAAAGACCCCTTGCCCTTGTGAGCTATGACGGAGTTTATCTAAGCTAATCCTATGCTTAAAGTAAGGTTTAGAAATGGTTGATAAATGCTTCCAGTGTTAAATCAGCTTATGGGTAACAATCTAATACCATAAACATAGATAAGAAACGGGCATTCAGACATGGAGATTAAGACAACTTTCTTGATAACATACTACATTCTTTTAAAGACTGCACTTGGTGTACTAGGAACGTTTAGGACAGGTGCACACCTCTTCCAGCCAAATCAGCTATTAAGATCTGAATTCAGCTCTTTGTTCAAGTTGAAAGTAATCTGCCCAAACCAGATGGCTCACCGGCATCACATGAAGGACATTTTCAGACATGTTAATACCCGAAATGCTGCTCACAAAGGAGTAGCAGGGGGTTAAAAATCTCCAAAGTTGTAATGCTTTAAGTTCAACCCCAGTTCTTAAAAATTAATCTTAAAATTGGTACTTCACATGTAGTTGTACATTATCTGCTGGTCTTGCCCCTGCCATTTTAGCAAAGTAAATTTTAACTGCAAAAAGAAGGTTTTCCAAGATCAAGCCAACTGTTTGGAAAACGCTGGCTGTATACTAACGCTGCTTGCCAGCCTCATCCCTACACATAAGCAGCAGTGGAAAATCTGGAACAGACATGCGACATTCACAGGCCATCAAACGCACTAGTTTCTGAAAGGGTGAAATTAAGTTCACCCGCAGAAAGCCTGGCGAATCAACACTTGGTGTTGGTGAAACATAAAGATGCATGTGCAACCACCACTTGGCAAAGGCCGACATATGAGCTCTGTTCTCTAGCTGCATCCTCAAAAGCACCAACTAAATGACTTGTTGCAGCCACTACACGTCACCGTACATTCTGTTAACACCAGTGGATCAACAAAAATGCCCCAATGCAGATCTTATACCTGAGAGGGATTTGTTCTGACACTTGACTCCACCCTTCATCATAACGTTTACTGTTTCCACCAAATTCAGAGATGCAGCTGGACCCTTAATGTAATCCAGACGTGCATTTTAGAGAGCTAGACTGTTCCTAATTAATTCTACAGCATCTTAACTGTACTCAGAACATCTTACAAAAGGAAGGACTCACTGAGTTAAGAAAAAAAAGCAAAACATGAGACTGTATATAAATCTACATAACACAGACCCATCCAGATACACAAGCAATCGTAACAGAAGTATTCTTTACATGTATTTTTCTGTCTCATTGGCAAACATGTGGGATTGGCAGACACTTAATGAAAGAAAAAGTATACTGACCTCATCATAGAAATCAGGATTCTGGGAATGATGTAGCACAGCGGTGTAGGCTGCTGTTGTAAATAATGGTCCACCTGGCTTCCCGTAAATACACTGATAAAAGTAACATGCTTTAATTACATTGTCAAATTCTGCTGATGATACTAGACTTGGTGTATCTAATATGCATGTACATTGAAAACAATATCATAAAAGATTGATAATTACTTTGATCAAATATTAAAGAAATATTTTAAGTGCTCAAACCTGCAATTTTTTATACACACTTCCAGTAAACGTCCATTGATTCTGTGAAAATTACCCTACACTCTACTAAGCAAGGCAGACTCAGACTCTCTCCTTGCCATTATCAATTTCAGAGTTTTCTGCAAAAAGCTTTACAAAAGCTATTTCTCTTTTATGCAGTTCAATACACAATACAATACCTTTACTGACTTTTCAATGTTACAAAATCTTCACCAGTTAACAATTTCCTTGCTGGCAGAGTCCAGTCTGGAGGCTGATTATTGAGTCTGGAGGTCTTATGCGATGGCAACTTTATTTAATGGTGCGGAAACTCAGTACAATACTATGCAATAGCCCTTTGCCAATAGCAAAGTTAAGAATTAAGTCTAAGGTTCTGCTAATTTTGTCCCTCACTCTTTTCAGTCAAGTGTCCTGAGCTCCGTGAGAACGTAGGGTAAATGGTAAATTTTAGAACAAGTCAGTTGCACTGTAAAAAATGGTAAAGATTTATAATGTCTTCTTTCCCCTCCACCAGTCAAAAAGCCAGTACTGCAAAATGGCACTTTGAGCCGGAATCATTATGACCAGCTGGGATCAAACAGAACCACAGTGCAGACGTAGAAGGATGCAGGACAACATCCACCCTTTAATTGTTCCAGGTAGTTTAGCCCTTATTTTTGGGTTTTATAAGTAATGCCCTCAGAAACATTGTTCTCTGAATTTACTCTAGTTGTGGCTCACCTTCAGTGGCTTTGCTCCTTCTTCATCAGAGCTTTTAAATTCAATGCAAACTGTTATATTCCGTGCCTGGAAAGACAGGAACATATTAAAGCCTAGATCAGAAATGTGGTACCCATAAAGACAGGCAAACTGTAAGAGCTGAAACAAGCTGTTTTCAAAATCTTGGAGAAACATGCAGCTGGTGTATCAATATTTAAAATGCTTTTAGGTCACAGTGACATCATTAGAAATAATATTTCCAAGATGAACTGGCAAAATGCAAGCCAGGCCTCAAACTGACTGTGTAGAAGCAGCTTATAAAGTCACCAGCACTTAGCTGTGTCTTGTTCTTCATTAATTTTCAATCACTGTGAAAATGTAAATAGTATTCAAGCTTCATTTAAGAACTACAAATATCATCCTGATTAATTTTATCTGCACACATAATTTCATCAAAATACAGCCCTTCTGAAAATTGTGAAAAAGCCATTACCACATTACCTCTCTTTCAATCACTGATACAACTTAAAATTAATCCAGAGATTCATTTCATTAAAATTGTACCAATGTTATATGATTGCAAAAACTGAAAAAGATCAAAAGCCAAGTCAACGACTTGCATCACCATTTTCCCCTCCTTTATGATGAGTATTCCTTCATTTCAATGAGAGCTCATACAGCACATTACTACCCAGTGTCGGCCTGGACTGGTCACATACTGTACCTTGTTGAAGTATTTTTGGCTATCATACTTGAGGTGTTTTGGATATATGTATATTTGGTTCTTGTATACTCTGTAAGGTCGAGAATACTTTGTTGATTCCTGTACAAACTCCTCAACTTCCACTGTAGGTTGATGCTCCCTTATGTCATTGAACGGCTTGATTGGAATAAAAGACGAAGTTACACAGTCTTCAAAAGAACAGAAAAGAAATCCATCACATATTATGTTTGCTTTTACCATCTTGCTACTATGAATAAGTAATACTGAGATAGAACAAGTAACTTGCACAGAATAAGTAATGCTGAGATGCAACAGGTCAAATCCTGCCTTAAATTGATACATTGTAATTGTTTTGAAGTAACATGAGTGCATCCTTAAATGGTCTATCTCACTTGAGTTAAATTGTACAGCCCTGAATACCTCTTCTGACACACACAGTATTTGATGGCATTTGATGACATACCAGCACCATTGGTATACAGACAGTTTCAACACAATATACTGAAGTGATGCTGTTTCTAATTAATTTTACAGCTCAATATCCCATTTAAGTTTTTCTATTATCTAATAACAGTAAGCGAAATGAAGAAACAAGTAGTGCAGAACTAGATTAATTATATGATGCAATAACCTACGACGAAGATAAGCACTCTGTCAGCCAGACAGGGAGAGATTAACAACGGACAGGGTAAGTATACTCTGCCTGTGCCATTAAATCCGTGAGACATTCAACTTCAGCAAGGAGAACTTAAGGCCTGTTTGCACAAAAGCAGCTGAGAAGGGTCACCAACCTAGGGATGTCCCGAGCTATTTCTGGGAAAAACAATTTGAAGGTCCTGCCTACAAATTAATTCCACAAGCCCCAAAATAACCCACAGGAAAAGCCTACCAATCTGTGGCGAGGATACGAAAGTAACTGGTGATCCCTCATATAAACTATGCCCAATTTTACCTCCTTCTAAACTAGAACAAGAGGAAACTGCCAGTTTCAGGATAGCGCAGGTCCTGTGCACCCCAAACAGGAGGGGGAGAAGCAGCTCCGCGCCAGCTATAGCAGGGTGCTTTCTCTTTGCTTTCTTTCACACGGACACTGAACACTGCTTACCCAGCCTGCTGCCCACCAAAATACGAATGGGTGCGATTGACCACTACAGCCAGCGCTCTTGAATTAAGCTGGAAAGAGCCACATATGAAAAGTTTTGTCTTTTCTAATGAAAATCAGCAGCATTAAAGGGAACAGCTAAATTAAATCTCTTGTATTTGTCAGCCAGAAGTGACCACCACCTGCTGTAGAGAAGCCTGGAGAAGGTTTATTCTCCCCAGTGCCAGCAATAGCTCCTGTACATGATCACGCAAATTCCTCTGTTGGTCTGTGAAGATGCTCGGGGTCATATACAGTCTTTTGAAGGCTTGCTCTTCTGCTACTAACGTTCCCCCAGTACTGTGGAGACTCTGCTCACTGCTCTTGGCCTACAAAGCTCAGACGGGCAGCTTGCTGTTTGGGCAAATCTCATGCAACCCATCTTAAAATATGAGGATGCATTACGTCTTATAATTTGGCCAGCTGCCCCTCAAACCTGATTTATAAGCATTCTGATTGTGTTGATTTTTGAACACCATTAACCTTGTTTTTCATTAGAGAAATCCGGGGGCCAACCCAAGGATTAGAATGGAGTGCTAAGGTCTCTCTGCAGAAGTCTTGCTGAGCCCTCCACACGCTGCACTGCTAGTAGCCCGTAGAAAATGCACAGGGAAATAGAAATAGTGTCGGACCGAACACAAAAAGGGGACTAAGGAATAAATGAAGTTTTTAAATACCAATAGCTCAGATGGGAGAGCAGTGATAGCCTGTGGAGCGTGAGAAGAGGCAGCAATAACAGGAAGAAGGCAGCTGGACGTGAAGGCTCCTGCAGCCAGCTGTGAAGGTCTGGTCTCTCCGTGCCGCATGTCCATCGCACAGACAGGCACAGGGAGCCAACAGCCCAGTTTGCTGCCAGCCGCACGGCTCTCGGCTACAGCTGCTCTCCACAATGCCCTCCACAAGAATAGAGCCTCGCAGTTCAGGGTTTTAATCGGTATTTTAGGAGGGAAAGCAGAGGGAAAGACTGGCCCTCTTGCCAGCTTCAGCGCTCTGACATTGCCAGCACAAAGGACAACAAGCAGGGACCACCCAGCACAGGTGGGAGCCTCAGGAAGCTTTTTCTCTCTTCCCCTTTGCTAGAGCTACGTGAGTTTGGCTTCCCACCACGCAGCAGAAAAGGCAGAAGTTTGGATTCAGGTTAAACATCATCAGACAACATCCTGTGATACACCACTGGCTCCAGCTCTTCTTGTAGCTATAGTAAATAAAGTCTTATAAAAACAAAGTTCTACTTCTGTTGTCTAGTGCAAATTGATGCTCATGTGAAACAGGGTAGTGTTGGTCCCTAGAGACACAATTGTATGGGCAAATTCTTGACAAGATCTTTGGCCAACTTCCTTTTCAGTGGCTTTTCTTGGCAATAAAGGATTTCCACACTAGCCAAACATGACTTATTTTGGGTGGGAAGGAGGTGTTACAACAAAACTGGTTACTGTTATTACAAGGCTTCCTTCAGAGCTGGCTGCAGTCAAGATGAGTTTTCACGGAGGTTTTAATGAATCCTACAGCATGGAAGCTTTCTGGTACAGCTTTTAAATTATTTCACAGCCCTATTCAAAGTAAGACAAATTTTACCCATACCAAAGAAATGTTTAAGCTGTTACTCCTTAGAGTGAGGGAATTTTCGTTGACTTTCCACAGGAACTGGGCACTTCACTAACACAAGCCTTTAAAGCCAGACTTTCACTTGGCCACAGCGCACACTGAGTCAGGAAACAGTACAAGGCCCAAGGTGCTTGGCACCATTTTCCCTACTCTGAGCTATCAGTTTCTTTTCATTTCAAAAATAGAAATTGCTTTTGAAATGTTTGTGAAACTATTTTTTTATCTAATACCATATGAAAATGGTATAAAGATGTGTGATGATACATTTCAGAGGAATTCAATGGTCCTGAGCTTTTTGCAACAGCGGGTCACAGGAATGTGACCCTTGACAAAGAAAATTTAAAAAGAGAGAAAAGGATTCAGCTAGAAGCATCTGTCTTAGCGGTTGCTGCACTGATTTCAGATTGGCCTCTTAATGAAGTCCTCCACCTAGCCTGCATGCTTGAAACCTCCTGCATGTCCTATATGTGTTAATTCATGGAGGATATGAGCATCACAGCCTATCAACAGCACAAGGATATTAACCTCAAGCTACATAAGTCCGCTCAGCTCTTTGGCCTAATCCCTTAGAGACCAAAAAGTGGTCCTTTGACCTTCATCACATGTGGATTCAGCATGCTGTGTTCCATATTGCTGGGGTATACCTGGCCAGGAACAGGATGAAACAAAGAATGGTGTAATTAAAGACAAGAAATCAAGAACACTGCCCTGCATACATTTTTCTATACAACAATGGACACTTCTACCAAAACTGTCTTAAGGCCGTAATTATGGCTGGAAAGCCTATGACAATGTCCTATCTTATTTAATAATTAATTATAAAGTGGAATCATACTTGGATGTTCCAAGGGAACACAATCAACTGCAATCTCCAAACAGCCAGGTATTGTCTGTATTTTGCTAATCTTCTCTGCTCTGCAATGACAGAAATGAAAACATTTTAGAAAATTAGAATAAAGGAGACGAGACCCATCATAGGAATTAATCTAAAATGAAAAAAACAGACCCTGATTTAAGATATAAATATATATTAAAAACATTTAACATACACCTACTGACTATTAAACTCAAATCAAATGCAACAGCAGGAAAAAAACTTTTGTTTTTTTCTCCTCTTTTTTTTTTTTTTTCTTCTTCTTTCTTGGCCTCATTCCTGCCTTCTCTTTGCAAGGAATATAATAGCATATTTTTTAGAAGAGGAAGAAACTGATGAACCAAACCTTATGAGAATTAACTTACCCGCTTTTTCTTTCCAAAATCTGAATCAAATGTTTTCTAAAAGGCATTAGATGATCACTGAGCCAAAAGGAGTTCATGGCACCATGATATCTGCAAGTGCCACACTGAAAAGGGACCAAGACATACCCCTTGTGCCCAAGCAATTTGAGAAGTGCCAAAACTGTGACGCTAAACTCCTTTTATCTAGAAGATGCTTTTGACAGACAAACGCAGCAGTGGCAACTCTTATAAGAGCAGTGAGAATTTCAGTAAAGTTTCTGGACCAGTAACAATAAGATGGCAGAAGAGGTTAAGGGCCCGATCCAATCCCTGCAGTTGAGATTCAATCTTTCTATGATCTGATTTTATATAACTGGAACAGGGGAAGTTAATTAGATTAATTCATTTCTAGGCACATTTAGAGTAGAAGCGTCAGGAAGAAATTCATGGTTCAATTCTCCTGTCATTTATCCAGTCCAAACAAAGACTCTGTTCTAGAATTAACCTGATTTACACCTGTGTGGAAGAATATCCAGCCAAACTTCTACTCACTAATTTACACACTGTCAAACATTTGGAGAAGTTTTTTCCTTTCAATGTCCACTCTGCAGTTTGTCATGGAGACTCAAACAAACAAAAGCAAGGAGCGAGGAAACTATTAAAGAAAACTTTTTCATTTTTCTTTCTCTCTTTTTTTTCTTCTCTGAGGTAATGTTCTCCTGTTGGTTACTTCACCTGCATCTCCCCGGATGGAAGCTAATTTAAGGAATCACTATCTTCAGGTTATAATAACATTTATTAGTGTGCCAAATGACGTTTCAGTTTTCCTGGAAAGTCCAACCTAAAGCACTCTTTGGCAGGTAATAGGCTAATGTGAAAAACACTAATTTAATATGGCCACTTCAGCGCACTGTGTTAAATGAAGAAAAAAAGCCATGAAAATTATTCTGCACAGCTTTATAAAGCTTTTATTCCTTCTCAAACCAAATTAAAAACTGTTCCTTACCTTCTGTATTCTGCTATTAGTTTAATCATATCTTCCATGGAAATCTTATTACTTTCTTGCCTGAATAAAGGTGAGAATCGGGAGTCTCTGTCAACATTTCCCTGATTATCTTTAAACACTGGTCTATAAAGAAAGAAAAATGGCATGTTTATAAACACTCACCCATAAATACATTTGAACATTTGAACTTGGCATGTAACCTTTTAACAAGGTTCCAATAAGAATTCTCACACCAATTCAAGGGCTCCCTGCAGAGCTTCACACAAGAAAGCTCTTCCCAGCTGTACTTTTGCAGCAGCAAAGGCAATTTCAGTTTACTTCCATGTGCAGTCCCAGTCCTGCAAAGACTTAAGATCTTGTTTAATCTCCCACGATGCAGACAGTCCCTACTGACCTCAGGTGCAGTGTGACTGCTCACACTTCGGAGTTGCTGGGGTTTAATGCTAGAACGGATCACCATCTAGTTCAGCATCCAACATTTTCCTCCCTCTTCTGTAGCCAGGTCTCACTTGAGAAATCTTGAAGTGTCCAGCACCTCGCTGGAGCCAGCCTTCTGCTCCCACCCGCCCCTCCGTCACCCTGGCTGCAAGGCTGCCTCTCCTTATTTCACAGAAGCATTTTGAAGAAATCATTACATCAGGGGGCAGTTTCCCCCAAGAAGTTACTATCCAATGAAAATGATGGCAAGATGACAAATCCCAACCACTACATCTCACCATGTAAAGAAATGTATGCTTTTGCAGAACCAGGTTAGAAACCTCTACTGAATCTTCCTATGCATTAAATCTTTTCTGTGTCCCCCAGGAGCATGACACCAACTCACTGGGGTTCAGCTGTCCTTCACAAAACAAGTTTGTGGAGCACTGCCTAAATTTTTGGTGAACTAGCTACAAACTGCCAAATGAAATGGAAAAAAAAAAGGATATAGTCTGTAACTGGGAACAGTGAGTATCAGCTGTTGTGCACACCGGAAAACATTCCCAGATATTTTAATTCCTGCTCATTGACACTTGCAGGACTTAATTAAGACACCCCAGTGCCCTTTTTATATCCCCAAGGGTCACACACGCTGGCTGGACTGGATAATGTAACAGCTATCCAAATTAATGAACCCTGGATTCAACTGTAGTATGCAAAAACATTTCTTAACAAAAGTAAAATGTTCTTGACACTAAATGCTGTTCTGTGAATCATTTGGCCAATCTTGCTCCCTTAATTTACTTCTCTGTTCCACTGCCAGCAAGAAGAATTGATGCCAGCACAAATTGTTGCCAGATGCAAAATAATGGAGTAAACCTTTGGAAGAGGATCCCAAGGATAAGTATAAATGCACCGTGTTTTAACTTAATTAACTGAGAAGCACCACTATTTCATTTCTTTTTAACTGTACAAAAATAATCAACTGTCTTCCATCAGATTTTTGCCTCCAGCTGTTAAAGGGAAGAAGGTCCATACCAACACGCCATGTCAAAAATCTTGTTATCAGGGAGGAAAACAGACCTAATTTCTGGAAGGCACCACTTACTTTACAAATTCTATCAAACTACTGTCAGACAAAAAAAAAAAAAGAAAGAAAAAAAAACCGATAAGATTTAGTAACTGCTACAGTATTGGTGACACTACTGTGTCTTTCCTGGACTCAGCACGGCTTGCTTTTCCAGACTAACAGAGAGGACTAAAACATTGAGTGAGTGATTTCCACAGTGCCACTGGGCTCTGCAATGGGATGCTGGGCAAACCCAGGCTCTGCGGCAGCTTATTAACTAATTCCAGTGCAGGCTCAACACCGAGCAAAGCACTGCTCAGCACAGCAGGGTGCTGGGGCACGTCCCAAGGCAGGGGCGGGGATGTTCCAAGTGCAAAAGGAAAAGGAACCAGGTTTGTGCTGGAAGTAGCTCACTCTGGGTCAGTGGTGCTGAGCACTGAGCACTGCCTCCCAAGAGGCTCAGGGACACGGCATCGTCACCTCCTCCCCTCCGGCCACTCTGGGTTGGAGTCAGAAGCGCCTTACAGAGTCCTCCTGCCTACAACCACTCCTCCCCAGCATCAGTGCTCCCTGGGTTTCACATGGCCTACACCTCTAGAACTGCTCCTCGTCAGTTCAGCAGCATATCCCAGCCTAAATAATACACCCAGGACAAAATTAAAGACATGAAACCAGGTACCCACAATACAAAACAGGTAAGCATTTTTATCCCTCCAACTTACAATACCCCATTATTGTAAGGCTCTTGCCACTACAAGAGCAAATTAGATGTCCATTGAAAACAAGACAATCCTTCTTAAAACCAGCTATGTTTTATACACTCGGGAAAGATTTAGATGGCTTTCTGCTGGTCACACCGTACTGGTGTCTCAATTCCCCTGGCTCATTAAAGCTGAAGAATTGCCAGCGCAGCAAGCATTACGTCTGCAGTTAAGTAACCACAATCCCATGTTTTGCTAGATCCTTTCAGGCTGCTGGGCACAGGTGGAATGAGAGCGATCCTCATCACAGTGAACATACTGGAGGCATTTGAGAACAACTGTCATATCAAATAAAAGGAGACGTAACAAAAGACTTATACAATCCAGGAGTCCAATATTTGTCTAATATATTAATGATTCCTTACTGCTGGTCACTTATTTACCAGGGAGATTCTAATAAGAAAAAATTCACAGAACTAAAAACCTGATTCTAAAGGTGTTAATTTAGGGGAAAACAAATTAACAGAATTCACTACAGAAACTGAAATATCATCTCTGTTCTTTAAAGTGTTTCTATGATTCTAATATTCTGACATTGTTAGCTGATAGTCCACGATCATAAAAATTCTTTAAGCATAGAAAGCCTATACAATGTTCATAATTTAACATTGAAAAAGCTACTTTTCAAGTACTGACTTATGATTTGTGGAAAAACTGCTCACCTCCAGGGTTAGAGTTTCACTGTGAGACCTGCAGCTACCGTAAATCAGTGCAGCCTCACTACCTTCAGCTACATCAAGCTACACCAGTTGCGAACTGAACCAGCAGCTGCACAGGCTGTTGAAGGATTCAAATATTAGGTTCTAAAATGTTAAGTTTACAAGGGTGGAGAAGGTTTGAAGGAATAGCAGAGTGTAAAAACTAATCTCTGTGGTGAAGCTTCTCCCCACATCTACAATATGTAGGCACATATTTGCAAACTCTGGCGGGAATATGAGAATGGAAGATGAATTTGACACACTGTAATTCTAACACATACTGTAATTATACCTGCGAGAGCGTACAGACACCAGATACCACCAACGCCAGCGAGAAATCAGGGAGGAACCCTGAATCATGCTCTCGAACGATGCTAACAAAGTGGATGCCACATAAGCTAATTAAGAGTTTCAGTCATACGCACAACACTCGGCTGTCAAGATTTTGGCTTGCTGAGCGTATATGCAAAAATCGCGCTGTGGCCATCTGTAACTGCTTTAAGGGGGGAAAATTTCCACACAAAAACAGGAATGTGGTTAATGCCAGAATGAAATAACTGGAAAACACATTTCCAAACCCAGGGTTTTGCTATTTATCACAGCCAAACCATTTTTTTCCCCTGTAGTGCGATAGCCTCCTGTGGAAACTTCTATTTTCAAGCTGTAAAAATAGAAATAGATTTTATAGGGCCAAATTATACTTTGCTTTTATCAAATAGACTTCCAAGCAATGTTAATACATAAACAGATGTAAATGATTGCAGAATTTGACCCAATGAACTAAATAAATTCTTTGCGCAACGTCACTGATACCAGCAAGTTCATACACGTGGTGTATTTGGTCAATGATTTTTAAACTATATTATCTCATAATGTGATTTATAATGAAAATGTTTAAGAGCTGATAAACACACCCAAGTATATTTTCTGTAATTAATGCTACCGACGGGAGGAAAACTTTTTAATGGCAAGGGCAGTGAAGCGCTGAATTAGGATGCCATCCAAATATACTGCCTGCCGGAAGTGAGGGATGTCCACAAACCCCAGCTACGTCCTCTGCCCATGTGCAGAACATCTATGCAACACACACACAATAAGTGCAAAATGTTGAACTCGCTGTGCATTTGCTAACACCACAAACATATATTCCCATTTATATTTGGGAAATCGCAGCCAGAAATACTGGCTGGACAACCATATTTAGGCATAATTACCCCTACCCTAGGGAAAACAAAAATACAGCATGATGCAGACGTATTTTTTCATCTTATTTTCTGAGACTGTGGACTGCACACTGAAAAAGGAGCCTGTAATTCTGGAGAGAATACCCAGTGAAACAAGTCATTGCCGTCTCTGAAACTGAAAAAGTATAGGATCAGAGGCCAAGGGTTTCCTTTGACAAAAAGTCTCAAGGAAACAGACTGAGGAAGGCTCAAACTCCCAGGTATTCCCACACCTGCTGTACTGAGCACCACACACGCATGCTCCTCTCAAACGGAGCTCTATTGCTCTCACCCTGCCTTATGTCCTTTGCCCCATTCCAGCCAGTACCAATTAACCAATCTGCATGGAATTCCCCAAAAGCCAGCCTCTGTTCATTTACCCAATACCTACAGCAACTGCTGTGCTCCGCTTAGATGAGCGGTAGTTAAGCAGAGCAATCCATCTATAGAAAACGCTTCTGCTCATGTGGCTGTGGTGACTGGAAGCTGCTCTATCATATACCATGTTACTAGAACTCAAAAAACTTACACGCAGGTTTAAATCTGGTGGAGAGCTATTTATTAGTCAAGCTTGATCTAATTAAGATTTTATTCGCTACTCCAAATCGAAGTGGCTACAAAATAAATGTATGCAGTTATAATCCTATGTCTGAGGTTGCCAAGGAGCTGCCAACTGGTATTTTAATGACAAAATATCTGAAATAACACAGAACTGAGAGGAGAGGAGAATCTTCTGAAGAGCACCATGTTCTCAGTGCACCCTAGCTTGACAGGCACTTAAGATGCTATTCCCCTCACAGGGATAGAACTAAAAACTTCATTCGTGTCTGTTAGACTTGCCTTAGGCAGAGCAAGTGCAGACCCACAGCTACAATTCTGGGCCGAGACCCAGTACCATGTAACGCGCTTGAGCAGCACAGGCATGACACATACCCAGCCCAGCACCTGCGTACAGTATAGTACGGCACAGCCCAAACCCCGCTTCTGCCTACTCCCTCTTGCCGAGAGGCAACAGGGGTTGCCACTTGGACAATCCTATGAATGGGAAATGCACTTCCTTCAAAATAATAAGAAAACCTTTCTGGTTTGTGGTTGGTTTTTTGGTTGTTGGTTTTTTGGTGGTTTTTTTTTTTGTTGGTTTTTTTTTTTTTTTCAAGAAACACTCTGAGATAAGATTTGCTGAAGATGTGGAAGAATTCTTTAGCCTTATCCACATGCAAGAGTGACTAGGCAGACCCTGAACTAGTGAAAATCATCACACCACCTAAAGATAGCTACAGCAATGAACAAGTTGCAAGACATATTGCTGATGGTACCGTGGCAGACCACGGGCAGGCAGGACGGAGTTAACAAAAACCTCAAGTCAGTCTGATGCCAAGCCTGCACCTCTTGCCATTGCACGGTCCATTACACGCTAAAAGTAGCTCTGTCAACCCAAGAGACACCCATCAATATGGTTTTGATGAATGGTCCTTTGCCTACACAGAAGTAATAAATATTGATGAGTATCCTTGAGCTTGCGATGACAGATCAGAACACATTATCTGCCTTTTTCTTGAGCATGCACATACTTCTCCCGTTCCTACTGGATATTGACAAAAAGGTATGTCGATAAAAAATAAATGAACTCTTCAAATGGCTGTACCTTGCTGTGTGTTTCCTCCTTTGCCAGCTAAGCACCGTATTCTAAAATCATAACCCTTCCCCTACACACCGCAGGCGAAACTGTGCACTTCTGGTGCTCTGTACCTCCACAGCAGAAGCACGCAGCCACACAGCTGTCCCTCACGGTCATGGGCAATGCCACAACGGGACTTTTTCACCTAGAACTCACTCCTCCTTCCTCCCTCCAGCTTCAGGCAGCTCTCCACCCGGCCTGCCACGGGCAGAACAGAAGCCACAGAGGAAAAGGAATGCTTTCCTTTGGCATTCCACAGCTTTCCTTTTTATACGGAATATCAAATTTTATTTTCCCTGCTCTATACATGGCAGAAAGAAGGGAGGAGAGAGCTGTCACAGGGACACACAGGAGGAGGGTTTCAGCCAGGGAGCTCTGTCATCCCAAGGCAGCAGTAAGATAAGGAAATTATCCAGGAGGAGAGAAAGGAAGAACAAAAGTCCACTACTGCCACTGCACTGACGTGGAATAAAACCCAACTGACCTGCCAAACAAGAGAATAACAGCTCTCTGTCACTTACTAACCACTACAAATGCAAGAGTACCTGAAGCATAATCCCTCAATATCAGCCCCAAGGCACTGTTTTAGGGTCACCATAACCTCCAAATCCTTGGTTAGGTTTTTCCTAAAACCTGACAGGCACCGTAGCAAGAATAGAGCTTCAGACTCGTGCACCTGTATTTTAGGTGGCCACTGCAACTCTGTTTCAGACTGCAATTATCTTTGTAGGAAATTCTTGTAAGAACTGTGACTTTGAAGTCTCTTTGGTAATTTTTAGCACCAAACCACTGGTGGAGCTCATGATCAGTTGATATTCTGCCACCTTTACTAGTCCCTGGCAACTTCACTGCATACCTGAAAAAAAGATTCCACCACAGGAACATTTAATAAAAAAGTAGCCAATGTTCAGCTGTGTGAAAATAGGGCAATGAAATAATAAAGCTGCAGGATCTTCTGGGCTCCTGGACCACGCAGAAAGCTTTGCTGAGCTTCAGGCAGAAAAAGTGGAAAAGCATAAAAGGATACAAGTCCAAGAGCAGAATAAGCTATAAGATGCTTATAAGACTATAGACAGAATTAATACATACCTCACTGACCAAGCAAATGGCATACGGTATTTCCCCAGCTTGCTGCAGAACTGTTTATTGGATTTTAACACTTTCTGTGCACACTACAAAAAAAAGAAAATAGGAATTATGTCATCAATATGACTCTAATACCTGAAATGCACAACAGACTGCATTCAAGCAACTCCTCTTCTGAAGAGGCTATAATGCCCCTAAAATAATTTAGCCTGATACTGCCCATAACAGAAGGTTCTGGGTGGACAGCAAAGACATCACAGATGAACATGATGCTGCTGACGAATTAAACCCCTTCACCACCCCTTTAGTCAGAATTGTCTTAGTTACAGTTATTATTCCAGTTTTCTGTAATATACCCAGTGCAGATGCACCGCCTGCTCACAGCGAGAAACAGGTGCCCACCCCAACTTTCCTGGTATACAAAGTACACTAACTCCTAATTTCCAAAAGACTGCTGAAAGAGAATGTCACTCTGCTGAGACATAACTAGCATAGGAATGCACCACAAATGGATCCGTACGTTGCAGATAAATGGTACTTCATGCATTCAGTCAATCGAACTTGGACATTTGCTTTCTTAGGTGTGGACCTCCTGCGAACTTGTCCTGTTCCGCAACCACACACCGGTGAGATTTGTGAGCACATTTTGCAATGTCTTCAGCTTCCAATAGGCCGAAGCTGGTAAAGAACAAACTGATGTTCCTCTTACATTACCTTAAAAGAATCAGGATTCTTAATGTAAGGTTCAGCACTGCTGGCAATGTTTCCTGTAAGCACCTTTTCTATTTTTGCCACTAATACGATCTCAGAATGAGGATTACTTATAGAGAAAAGAGCCTGTGGATAAAAGAGAGAACAGTTAAAAAGCTCGAGAAATGAAATACTGCCAGTGGTCTCTGGTGATGGAAACAGTAACAAACCAAATTCAGAAAGGATTACTGAGGATTATCATCTCTATACATTCAACACAGCCAGATGGAAAATAAAATCTGTGTGCTGGTGCTGAAGTAAGCTTGTGCACATGCAGCACCTTGCAAACAGAGTGACTCAAGTGGAGCAGCAGTATGACCACGTTAGCATCACCTAACCTAACTCTTCCTCTTGGATGGTACTTAAATGCTGGCCTAAATCAGGCACACCTCAGGGGAATGATAGGGAGAAGAAAAAGTAATGTATGGGGGTTTGGGGTAAGGCTTAGAGCAACAGCAAGAACGTGGAAGTACTTGGAGATGAATGCAGCATCTAGGTGTCGCTTTAAGTTGCAGTTTTGTTTGGCTGGTTTGGAGAGGTCAGCAAATGAACCCAGAGAGCAGAGCAAACATGGGTCGTTTTTCTAAATAACGGAGACTAACTTTTTTCAAAGTTTTGATTGTAAATGGTTTTAAAGTCTATACAGGGAGCTCAAAAATCAAGCATCTGTATACAAGTACCACTGATGTACAAAAAGAGTATTCTTGAAAACAAGAACCGTTGGTAGTACAAATAAACACTCTGATGAAAATGAATATTACTGCTGAACTAAAATAACTCCCACAAGTCACTAAATCATGCAAGTCACGCTTGGAATACCTGTTTTGGGTATTTCAGCCATTCTTCTGGGAACCCCTTGACCTGTGGTTCTTCCATTTCATTTGAGTCTATATTTTCAACAGTGCCATTTTCTAATGAAGAGGAGGAACCTGAAATCATCTGTCTAACAAGTGTGTGGTTCAAATCCACGTGAAAATCAGCAGAGATCTTCCTGCCATCCCTGACATCATACAGCGCCACGCTCACAAAGAAAGGCTCTACCTGGAGAAAACACCAGAAACATAACATAGCAGTAACTGAGAGCAAAGGGGTAAAATCTAGCTTTTAATAGGTTCCTGCAGCTAGTAAAAAAGAAAGCAAGCAAATATTATTTACAAATTACGAGATCCACTAAAAACACACACTCACACACACCCCTGCCAAAGTTAGTTTCCAACCATGTGATTTTAGGGGCTTTTAAAGGTAGTTTGTTAACAATGTGCCAGAACAAGAATTGACAGCTAACTTAGAAACTCACAGAATAAAAACAAATGTATTTGTCACAGACGATTATTAGAGTGAATGAATAGAGCCCCAGAGAAACACATTATAGGATTTTTAAAATGTAGATTCAGAGTCATTATAAAAGAAAGAAGAGTGAGGGTGGGCTTTCCAGGGATCGTCAGAAATGCAGTACAAAGATGACAAATGTAAGTAGATGTAAAATGTTTACTGGTACAAACACAAATGCATGGGTGTATTATTCTGTGGGAAACACATGTTCCATTTTGCTACAAAACCAAGAGCATTCAAACCACTCTGACAGTACCCACTTATTCTACTGCCTAGTACCAGGGAATTAAGTCCTATGACTGTAAGTAACCTCCAAAGAGCCTCCATAGTTCTGATGAAATAAATCGCTCTCAGAATAACCCCTTCTGAGCTGTCCAGAAATCAGAATCTTAAAACTTTGGAGATAAGGAACGATGCATGGCAGGTACAATATTCTATGCTTTTTCAGCCTCTGTAGTGAATTATTGCATGCCCTTGGTACAGTTATCATGACTTCATTTAAACAGTTATTCCAGTCTGCCAAAAAATGTATTGATTACATCACGCTGAATATGCACTCACTGTAGAGGTCATCTTCAAATGAAAAAAAAAAAAAAATTAAAAAAAATAATCAGTGCCTCAATATGTAATGAATGGAAGCTGAGTTGCCATCACACTCATTTCTCAAAACTTTCCTGCTTCAGAGGAAAACTAACTACAAGCTATGAACTGACAGCTACATCTCACTTTTCCCTGCCCTTTTTTCTTCAAGTAAGAATAAGCAAAATTTTCTGGTTTGTCCTGTTTTTAGCTGGGCTTTTCCACTAGATGAAGCATCCACTCCTTTCTATTTTGCCTTCTCTTCTGTAATTTAATCTGCTTGGTTCCTGCCCTCTCTCTGAAAAACAGTTCACCAGCAACTCATACTCCCTACATAGGTCTCAGCAGTTTAAACTTGTTCTTACAGCAATTGTTAAGAATCCTCAAGGATTTTAACATGTTTAATTCCTCAGTGAACTGTAGCTGAAAGTCTGCAATCTAAATCAGCTTCAAAATGTTTCTTGGGAAGTTCATCAGTTTCATTACTCGATCCAAAGGGATGAGCAGAGGAGGAGGAAAGAATGCAGTATGCTTGCATGATACAGCTTTCCTTTTACCTTCTCTTTCCAAAATAAGTGCACAGAAAGAGAAGGGTAAGGAAAAAAAAAAAAAAAAGAGGAGAAAAATCATAGGGAAATAAGTAAAGCTTACATTAGTTGAAGGATCATTTTCGTTTTCAGTAACACAGGCCTGGAGATTCAAACTGAGGGATTTGCAGTTTATCAGGATCCTCTTTGCAGGCTTTTCTTCAAATGGCTTGATCACTGAGTTTGTCCCTGGAAACTCCTTTTTCTGAGGATTCAATGACTGAAATAGGTTGGATGATTCGTTATACATGGGAAAAGCATGGCATTCCAAAACTAAGTAAGCTTTTTAAAGGTCTTGACAATCACTGAAGCACCCGAAAACCTCAAAAAACCCACTGCTGATATCTTCACATTACCATAGTAAATGAGCGTTATTCCTAATTTGTAGATCAGGAAGCAAAGCAAAAAGATTGCCTGAGGATGTATATAATGTCAGAGGCAGAATTAGAGATCCTATAACCTTAGAACAGTTTTTTTTGTGTATTGGCTGCTTCTGAAACTTTAGCTTTTCATTTCCTCACATAGATTAAACAACCTCATATTTTCAGACTATAACACCACATTTTAGGATTAGATTTGAGACCTTTCCCTCGCTTATACACCACAACACACCACTATTTCAATTTGCTTAATATTTTTAATAATAGTGCTACAGTTGACTGACAACAGGTTCAAGTTTGGATATATACCGATCCCGATTTTACTTAAGTCTTCTTTTTAACCAAAATAAAGTTTCCAGTCAAATCACCAACAAATGTACATTCAGCACAAGGAATAACATTCTTTGAATCATGAATTCTGACACTAAATGATAAGCAAGCTGAAGACAAAAAGAAAAGCAACCTGCACTTCCTACATCTCCAGCTAAACTTTTTTTTCATATTGATAGCCTTTTGTACCTCCAACTGTACTTTCCCACTGCTTTTTATATCCAGTCAAGTATTTGCAAATTCAGTGTAATGAAGAACAACAAAAACGTTCTTGTAACATTCCCGGTCTGGGAGAAGGTTCTCTCCTGCAACATTTTCAGTTGGCTTTTACGATTCAAAGCTTAGCTAGACTGGACTAGATGGCCTCCAGACGACACTTCCATCCTCAGCCACTCTGTGATCAGACGCGGGTAGAGTCTATACAGAAATCTCTACGGACTAGAGATTCCGCCCCTCGCCCTTCAAAGCTGAAGTCTCAGGTATACCCCATTGCTTGCTGAACTCCAATCCACTCTGGTGGCTAAGCTAACCCAGTTAGCTCAGACCAAATGTATTTTAAAACTTCTAAGAACCTGAAAAAAAAAATTCACTTACTGCTATATCAGGATCCAAAGAAAAAAGATTTAGTCGCTCTGTATTTCGAGAGGCTTTCACCGTTTCTTCTGTTTCTGTGATGTACTGTGGTGACAGATAATAAATTAGTTTTCTGCACAAGAACAGAAATCCATAGAGTTGTCAGACTTCTAAATGAATGATCAATGTTTCACTTGTAACAACACTTCTCATTTCTGCAGTAGTTATCCCAAAACACCTTCAAGCGCTCTTTGAAGGTTATATGCTTGTGAAGAAGGGATTTTCAGGCCATGATATACTTCTAAGGAACTTCAAAATAGATCAGTTGAGTAATTCAAGTTCATATCTGCTACTAAAGAATCCATTGTGTAAGATGTCAGAACGGTGGATCACTGCACTAAAATCACTTTAGGGATTCCCAAGCGGAGGAAAAATACCCTCCAGCCCCACAGAAAACCACCTGTGTCAGGGGGAGGGCAGAAAGGGGAGCGGGAAAGTGCAGCTCAGCCTCACAGGTGGGCAGACACACAGATTGCAGTGTGTCACCAAAGGTAAGGCTGGGAGTCCTCTCCCCATCCATCCCTCTGCCACAAAGCAGGACCAGTCCCACCCATTTTATTTCTGATGGACACATACCTAAATTAATAATAAACTCTCTGATAAAAGCAACTCAACAACTTCCTGAAGCCGCTTGCAGGCCAGCAGTGGTCTTTGAGATATCTAAGATATATCTATTTTTGAGATATCTGCATTAACTAAACCATTAGAAAGTATCTATCCACAGATGAGATGATCAGATACTACTGTTGTCCTTGATACATAAACTCAGTTACATTTTATCTGACTGATCGGTCGTTTTCTTTTTATTTTGAGTTTGTTGTTCTGTTCTTTTTTTTTTTTTTTTTTAAATTCTAGGTGACCACTTTGTATATATGAATACAACCTACAGTAAAATGTGGACCAAATTCTGTCCTCATTTGCACATACAGCTTTCAGTTCAAATCTGTAGCAGTAAATCCTCAAATAGCATTTGGCTGTGCAGACAGGTAGTATTGATAGTGGCTCACTGACAGAAGATTACAAACATGATTCATTAATTTAAGAAAAAGCAGTGAAATATTTCCAATCTAGCTTTTCATCAAAAAGCTGCTTAGCACCATCTACAATTATCTCCTCCACATGAAGCAGTTTATGAGATCCAGAGGACATAAACACCTCCCCTGATATTACACGCATCTTTCAATGAAATTACAGAAGGTGATGAGCAGTTCACAGCTCGTTTCCTTGCAAGTCACACAGGAAAACTTGGCTCTCCAAGGGCCAAACTCTTCTGAAATGCCTTTAAAAAGAGCAAATATTTCACAGAAAGCTGCAGGTACCAGACCCTTACTGACTTGACAGGTCTAAATCAAACCACTCAAGGGAGCACCTACTTTCTTCACATCCAGTGGAGTTTTTCTCATTTAAACAAAGCCATCAGCTGTTCAGAAAGTAAATTATTCTTGTGATTTGTCATGGCTCTAACAATCACAACGAGCTGTGCTGTATATTCAAACCTTTCACAATATTTATGACATCTATTGGCAGACATTTTTCACTTTCCACTAAGCTTGTAAAGACAAATGTAACATCCATTACTTTTGCGAAGTCTGGGTGCAAGGTGTTCTCTGAAGAATCAGTCTCTTCTTGAGAGCAATCATAATTCACCGAAACTTCTGGAGGGTCTTGAAAAGAAGGAAGTAATATGCAAATGTTTTTATTATACTTGCTATTACCATTAGGTTTAAAAAAAAAAAAAAAGAAAGAAAAACTCTCCCCCTGCTATTTCTTTTTATTCCCTTTAGTATGATCATGCTAAGAAATGGAAGAGATACTAATGTAAACCTCTGTCAATCTCATTTCCCACTGGTCCTTACTGTAACTTAGTCTATATTTAAGCTTTCAAACAAGAGGCCTGACTCAGTGAAACGTCTGACACGTTCATCCATGACAAATATTCATACCCACAACAAAGACACCTTCCCTTTGCTCTCTCGGTCCCCTCTGAGGCAACATGGAGGCTTTATGTCAATCAAAAGACTTTGGACTCCCAGTAAAGAGTCTTCAGTGAGGCAGGTAGGACCTTACCCAGGTTTTGGGAAGGAGAGGCATGCAATATGGACTCCACGAGCTGCAAATCTATGGATCCAGAGAACAGCACTATACAGCAACCCCTTTGCTTTACTTCGCTCACCAGGGACCGTTCTGCTTTCACTAGGTAATTCAGCCCAATGTGAAATAAGTCATTACAGCCATTCATGGCTCTTCTGCCAAGAAAGCATCCTGCCTTTTGACAAGTTAACTCCATAGCACATTCCTGTTGCTTGTTATCAGGTTTTTTACCAGTAGAGACTTCTGTTTTCTGTTAGCCTTATGTCTTTGACCTTTTATGCACATATTTCTTCCTGCTTCATTAATATCCCTTATGGGTGGGATTGTCAAAAGTACTTCTCCGATTCTGAAGTGCAAGTCTCTTGTGCCTCCAAATTATAAAAACAACTTTGGCTATATGAAGAGTATTCTGACCCTCCAAAAATCAGAATTTATTATAAACACCAGGCTAAAGCCTTCGATTAGCTCTGAACTTCCTGAAGATTCAGATCCGTGTGGATTCAAAGCTTTGATTCAGCTCAGAGAAGAAGCAGTTCAAGTCTGTATTAAGGTTTCAAGCGTTTTCAGTCTTAGAATTTCAGCTGGGGTTCATCCAAACTCAACGTGGATTTATTATGTGGAGGAATGAGTTACTGCCAGATGAAGAGTGCAGTACAACAGAGCATCCAATTCGTTCTTCCACAGTGAAAGCATATTAATACGCAAACTCACAAAAGCAAGAAATGAAAAGTCAAAAAGCTTTCAGGGAAAATTTTTAATTATTAGCTCCAGATTTTTAAAGAAAACAAAACGCTGGAAAAAACCCTGATCTAACCTCTCTCCAGCACAAAACATTTTAAAACCTTCAGACTCCCAAGACAGTAAAACACAAAGTACTAGCAAGATCATTGACAGAGAGGACTATATTTGAAAAAGAGCCGCATATGCAAAGCGGAGCCACGTTGCTCCTGTTGACTTTGTGGGGAGCAGCTTTACCTCCCCCACAGCCTTTTGAAAATCATCTGTGGGCAGTTTGCTGACATTGTTCAGGGATTGCCAAAAGACTGGTGCTTCTTCGTCAGAAATCAATAGATGCAGAATCCATTACAGACTCAGGCAGTTAAAATTACTCAATAGTGATATCTGAAGGTTCAATGTTTTGCATTTGATTAAGAAAAAAAATGTGAGAAACTATTCAGTCTTACCAAGTTTCAGGTCAGTGAGATCTGCACTTTTCCTCTCCTGAATCGTTCCCTCTGGATTTATTTGCAGGATTTTGTTGAGAGTAAAAATCCAGTCATCCATATCCTGCTCATTTTCAGCTGCCAGCACAAAGTATGTGAGGTCATTCATTTTCAACTCAAAGGCATGTTTCCTAAGCCTGTTATTCTGATGGAACAAAAGGAAAAGAAAAATAAACAGTAGAACTAATTATAAAAAGGTACTGAAAAAGGCATCCATATGATGGACTTGCATATGGTCACTCCTTAAAAATAACATTCAAGTGAAATTCTGTGGCTTTAAAGAAAATCCAAGTAGTGTGACATTAACACAAGTTATGTCACTTTATTGTTTGGTCTTTGTGCATCTAGGATCTTCTGTGGCCAAATACACATCTTCTATTTAACCACAGCAATCTAATACTATGGACAATAACACTTCAAACCACAGTAGGGAATAGCTCCCAACTGGAATAATAAAAGATCTCTGATGGTGAAGTACAGCATTGCTACACGAGTCGTAGTTGTCTGGAGAGAACATCTCTAAAGCCCAAGTCTCCTACACCTTACCAGCACACCAGACACTCAGAAGGATACTAAAGTAGTGCTAAGTCATATGAATTATTTGCTCAGTGGGAACTGGAGTAAGTTCACTAAATTCAAACTAGTAAGCAAGCAAAGTCAGCACGTGGTCAAAGACTATCCCATCCCTGCCTGTGGAGGTCAAAGGTAATCGTGAACAACTTATAAAAACTTCTGTTTTGAGGTATTTACAGATGCTGCTAACAAGCTACATAAAGGTAATATTTTCTGAGCATCTAATGAAGTTAGAAACACTGTGGTTAGGGTAAGAACCTTTCTACATAATTTTATTATTTTTGTATTTTCCTGAAAGAGCTTCTGGATGATGAGTGTTTAAACTTGGAAGAGAGATTAACCAGTAAATCTCTCCAGAACACTGCAATAGGATGAATTCCTCCATGTGAAAAGATTCCAACGCTCATCTCCCACTGCTGCATTTCTGTTAGAAGGATTTTAAAAAGGACTAAGGCGATTTCAACAATTCTTTGCAGGAGGCAAACGGTGATGTATAGTGCTGTTCAGTCATTGCAATGCTACTCTTTTCAAGTATAGAATAAGAACCAATACCCAGTATATTGGCAACAGACTGAGTTCTGAGATCTGTTCTGTACCACCGGATTTCACCTGCAGTAGATGGTTAATCCATAAAATTTCTGTCATAAGAATTAACAGGTGTCTAGTTACTGAAACAGCTCAGTAAGGTTAAACAAAGTGATGAGATCTAATACAATGTGCTTTGTTTCTCAAATTTATCAAATTAGCAGGCTTTCATCTCTTAGTCTTACGGAAGCAGTTGCATCAATTATGTCCCCTCCTTGTTTAATCTGAAAGAATAGTGACACATCCTACCCCCTATGACTTCATCAAACTTTTACAACCACTGCCTATGGACATCAGTGCCACTGTTTCGTTTTCAATATTCCACAAAATTGCCATCACTTTGCTGACACATCTAACCTTGGAGTGATGCTGACAAATGAAAAACATTTCATCCACCCCATAACTGGTCATTTCACTCAATTTTATTATTCTTCATTAGCAGTCTGAAATAACACGATAGTTCTACATACTACAACTATTCAGTACAGTCCTAGACCAACAAGTTACTAAGAATAGCTTCTAAGCCAGATAGTGAGATGGTAGCAATATTTTTATTTAAGAGGAACAGAGGCAAAATCTGATGCAGATTAGCAGAGGAGGAGACTGAGAACCCAAGCACTGAGAATAAAGTTCCGTGAATGTTTTTTTTCCAGCAGCAGAGATGACTTAGAAGATTCCTACCCAATCTGTTGTTAATCACTTGCTCCAGTCCTTATATTACATGTCATGACCCAGCTCAGGAATCAGTTAAGACTAAACAACTTCTGGAGCTACTTGGGTCAACAGAATCAGTCAAATCTTGGCTTTTCAAACGGACTTGGGATTGTGTGTGTGTACGTGTCTGTGTGTGTGTTATTTTTTAGTTCTGCTACTGGAAATTCTCTTCATAGGAAATAGTTTTCCTCTCAAGTACTTTATTGAGGTGAATATTCTTTCAGGGATATAAATTTCAACTCTCCCAACTTAGGGTAAGAAAAGGGTTGGCTTTTGCAGCAATTGGTTCTCAGGTGTCCAGTACTTTTCTTGATCCTGAAATCACTTTAATCCTCCAATAACTGCATACATTCAAATTAATGTAAAACAAGGACTAAATTTTCACTGAAACCTCTTTTTACTGATATAACACGAGGTCTTGAACAAGAGCTAGAATTTGAACAAAACTATGCCAAAGATCCTAGGTAGTGGCCATTCAAAGATAGATTATTTGTGTAAGTGGATTACATATACCAATTTATGCACAATCTATAAAGAAAAATGCTACGTTTCAATTTATCTTCAGAAAGCACGTAGAGCATTAAAATGAATGCATTTCTTGTCTATATTACGTACTTCCCCTTACAGACATGGCCAAGATCTTTAAATCAGGTACTGTAACACTGTTAGACATTATCTAATAAAGCAATACATCTCGCATGCTGAATCTTAAGAACATTAGAGCAGGAAAACTTCAATATCCACTTTTCCATCTGCATTTCAGACTTCTGGCAAGCAGATGAGATCTACAGCAAAGTCTTTGTTTCAAATCTAAAGCCAACTATTTTCTTCCTGATCAGTTAACAGGAAAAAAAAAAAGTACCATTTCTCAGTTTGCTTCTCTTTAAGTTCTTCCATATGGTACGTGGACCTTGAGGTTGACTTGTAATCTTCAACACTTAATTTCAAGTTTAAGATTTCTTCCAGAAGGAAATAATACAAGATTCAAAGAGAAACTAGGGATGAGCTATAAATGAAACATCAGGCTAAGTCTAATGCCTCCAGGGTCATTCTTCCAAAATAGCAGAATTGTTTTGGAAGTATTTTTTATTTTATCTGGAGACAATTTCTCCAGGATGTTTACTACAATTTAGATATCCGACCTCTATCAAACAGAAACTCAAAGTCATTCATAGAGAATTAAATAATTTATATTGGTATTAAAACCCATTAAACGAGAAGTTTCACATCACAGTTTTCCTCTACATTCTCAGTTTTACCCAACCCTTTCTCCACATTCTGGGGTCTCCATGTTTATGGCAACTCTAAGCTAGGGTTTGTTTTTCAACCCTACAATTCTAATTTCATCGCAGACTTTGATAGCTGATGATACTTGCCCTATTACCCCCTTGGCTAAGACTCTCATTTCTTGCTAGCGGAGACAGCCCATGGATTTGTGCATCCCATTCTAAATGTCAATCAAAGAACCATCACGAAAACTGGTGTCTGGGGGCAGGCGAGAGGAGAACATACAGTTCAAACAGTTTGGGACAATTTGCAGGAACACTGCAGATTTAGAAGGCAGCTGTCAAAGTTCAGGAGGATGATTTCAAAGGTTTCTTGAGCTTTTTCATCAGAGGTTAGTCAAAAAGGCCAGAAATCTTGCAGTCAAGACATTTCTGCTATCATGGAGTGTCATCAGAAACAACACAGCAGAACAAGCACCCTCTGGAATAGCATTAAATATGTACCTAAAACGACACTACAGGGGCTTTCAGGGCCTAACCAGAGCTCTGGCTGAGACCCATCTTAAAAGAAAGCACACACTGCCAGCAAAAAGGAGCAAGCAGTAATTTCTAAACAGGATTGCTGTCTAAGAATCTCCTCTATGGCTTCTGCCACACTTCCAAGCTGCCTGTTAGTGTCTTTCAAGCCAATGGACTGACAGAGTCAAACATCATTGTCCTTCTACACCTCCATCTCCATCCTGTCCTACATCTGTTTGAAAAAAGAAACGCTCTTTTGAAGTACACAGGGGAAACAGTCATTCCCTACAGAGCTGGGTACTTTTCCTGGCTGCAGGAATGAGGTTCTGCAGGTGGCTGTCAGCAAATATTTGTTCCCAAAGTGAATTACTCACTGATTATTTTTCTTGCTCTAAACGGCGTGTTTAGGGGTGAAGGAGAGACTTCCCTACCAACAAAAGCTTGTGTTTATCAGGGGTCTTCCCTGGCATTACCTGGAAGGTTTATTTCAAAGCAACCCTCAAATCAGTCTGCACTAGCACTGCTACTGATCCTTAGTGCTTAAGTAGTAAAGAATAAAGTATTCTTTACTTTATTCTTTACCCAAAACCGGAATGTCCTTACTTAGTCACAAGTGGGGCCAGATCAACCACAGTAACATACTATTTAAGATAATATCTTGTTTAGAACGGAAAAAAGAGAAAAAAAAATAAAAATAGAACTACATTAACAGAATTAGAGGAAAGGCAGAGCAAGGGGGGGGGGCTAAGAACTCAATCTTAGGGGCAACAACAACAAAAAAAGGCAGTGTCAGATATTTCTGGCTATATATTTTTCAAAGCCACAATAAACAATAAGGCTCTGTCCTACCTGCTGCCATTAAGACTCTCTTATCACCTCCAAAACTGATGATCTTCAAGGAGGCTCAGGATACAGGATTAACTTACCACTTGCCCAACAGCTGATGCTTTGTAACCTGAGCGTCTTTAACCCACAACAAGCAAGCGTGCTTTTAATAAGCGTAAGGTAAAAACTGGCAGCTAAGAAAGCAATTTCAATGAAAAGAAACATTTTATGATATTTTTTTCCCATGTGTGCCATGGGCAAAGAGCATATGCATGATCTGCTACCATAATTCAACTGTGGTTTTTCTAACATGTCACTCTGAGCACTTGCACCAATTTAAAGAGCAAAACTAATGGTGTTTTCATTTTGTGAAACTGCTAGAGGCCACTATTACATTAATGCATGCGTTCTACTTGCCTTTTCAAATCTATCTGACACCCAAAGAGTACAATGAAATAAACTGAAACTTACCTGCACAACTCCTGTACAAGAATCTAAGAAAATACATCCCTTTGGCTCCTTTGATATTTTTTCATCTTTATAAAAATTCATGATATATGAGTTATCCGACAACTGTGTCAGCTGGAAGTAGCGCTTTTTGAATGACTAGGGGGGGCAGTGGAGAAAAAAAAAAAGAATGACAATTGTTGTACTGAATATTATTTTCACTGATATTTTATTCACAGGGTTTAAATAACAGACAACTCCTAGCTGCACTTAATCGCACCATTTTGCAGACAACTACAATATTACTTTACTATCATTTAAAGCAATGTAATCAAACCTGAGATACAAACGACAACGGCAAACAAGTGCGCTTCTGCAGGGGATATAAATCCAAATGGAATAAAAAAAGAATAATGCTGTCCCCTTACCCGAACAGTAATGCTATTGTTTACAGTGCTGTTGAAATTCCCTTTATAAAGCCATCCAGACTTGTAAACTCCTGCTGCTAATCCTCCTCCTCCTCCTCCTCCACCACCTTTTGAAGACGAGTGGGATGTTGTATCCTGTATGAAAGACATGATTAATATTGCATAGTCTTGCTTTTTGAATTCTAAGACTAAAGAAAACTGTAATGTATGAGTATCTGCTTGACAACAAATAATCATCCTTTCATTCCTTTTAAAATAAGATGTTATTAATATGCCTGCTGTGCACATGACGACATAAGAGACAAAGCTGTTCCACTAACTTCAGAGTTATTTAAAATATGAAATATTTTATAGGAGATAATGAGACTCCATTATAAGTCTTTATTTGATTTTAAAGCAATAAATAACTCCTCTTCCAGAGGAAAAAAAAACACAACAAAATCCAGAATACATACTTCATCCTTATCCACATCTTCGTGATCGATTTCAAAGGAATGTGATGGCAGTTTCTCTGGTCTACATTCATTTCTGGGAGGGAAGAAAAAATTTCTTTAATTTTTTTTTTTTAAAATACTCGTGCACCTGCTATTTCAGGGATGCAACCATGCCGAGCCCCCGTGACACCTCCAGTACACCTATTTCTGTGATGCTATTACCTCCTTTAAAAATCACTACAGTTTCAAAATACAGCTTTTTTTCTTAAGCCACATATATGTTTTTTTTCCAACATTATGAAGTTGCAACAGTTCTACACAAACAATGAAATACCGTTTCTTGTTCTTGTCTCTGCTAGTCCACCACAAAGCCAACAACACCCCATCTCCAAAGAGATATCCCGTTTAAGACTGTCAAATTATGAGAACGAACTGTTTAAAAGCTTTTTCTAACCAAGAATAACATTACAACATTCAGCTTAAAGCTTCTACATTTCTTCAATATTTCAAGATCTTTTTGCTATTCAATATGATGAGCACAGCCTTAAAGTAATTTTTAAAAATACACCGATGTCTTTTTGATGTGGTGCCATTTAAGGTCTTCATATTGTGGACTTAAAACCAAAACTGAATATGAAAAACCAAAGCACTTAGGCACTTGCTTAATTTTAAGCACATAAGTAATTGTAATTAATTCCAGAGTACTTCACGTGTTGCAGAATTAAACCTTAAGTAACAGCCTAACACACATGATAAAAATTCAAAGATATTTTTAAGTGGAGAAAAAAGAGATTTTTCTGTAGCCTAAGAAATACCAACATTGTTTTCAAATTCTTAAGATTACATATCTCATCTTGGAAATCTTCAGTTATCATATGAAAACCTACAAAAGCTGCCATGCTAAAAGCCATCATTTACCAGGAAGACTGACTTTTCCAGAACTTCCTTTCACCTCCCTAGCCTGAGAATGGGAGCAGAGCAACACTACTCTCTACCATGCAACGAGGCAAATCCAAACAGAAGTTGAGTAACCACAAACTCCTAAGCTAGTTTCCTCTCTCAACTTAGCAAACTTTAGCCCACGCTACCACATAATGTTAAATATAACTAATAAAAAAAAAAAAAGTGGTAACTTTGACCTTTTTCATTTTCCATTTATTCATATAGTACTTACAGATTAGGAAGATTAATGAGCAATACCTATCTCTTCCTCACTGTCCTCATTTCAAAGTCAGTGCTCTCATGACGTGACTACCCCACCACAAGCAAAGTCAGCATGTCAGCAGCACCAGGAGAACCAAGCGCACACAGAACGCAGGAGAGTTCTGTTCTCTGTATTAGTTTGTTCCAGTTTTGTTTATTTAATGTAAACAACTGATCAATACTTTGAATAAAAGGAACATTTGCAATCTATTGACAACTCTGACATCTGTAATTACTATTCAGAGTATTTGTGATAGGAATCCATTGCAGGTTTTCCAATGCAACCAAATGCAGCTGTTAAAAAGTCTTACACAAACACTCCCTCCCCAAAGAAGCCCAAACCAAAAATCTCAATCCAAATCCCACCTTTTACAAAATACATAATTCAAGCCTTCACATCTTTAGACAAAAAAACATTAGCTTATTCATTATTCAGAGCTAGAAGTGCACTGCAGTGCTCCTGAGGCGACGTGTAGGCAGACTGACTGATGCTCTCTGGCCACACACGGACAGGTAACACCACTGCAAACATTTGCTTGAGGATCTGTACCAGTAACAGGACAATTTAAGTCAGCTATTTAAAAAAAAAACAAAACAAAACAAAACAAAACCCAATCCCTAATGCCCTTGATGCTCCTGGGAAGAGGAGGAAGGAGTCAGAAATCTGCTGGATTAGTGGAGTGTTGACCCCTCACCATACAACACAGCAACTCTGTCCCGCTATGTCACCACAGCCCTTCCACAAGCCTGGGTACATGGTAAACTGCTTAGAAATAAGGAAATCCTTCTGTCCTCTCAGCAGAGCTATAAAAGACAGAAAAAGACAGAGCTCTACTGCTTCAGGTGTCAGATCTCACTGACCATCCATGAAACACTCATCCACTCAGACCTCTGTGTCATAGAAGTTTTTCCCTTCCTTGGTTTTTTCCCTTCTTTTGGGCATGCTCCCCATCATTCTAGGGCAGACAGATAAAGCGTGGCAAGGACATGATCCTGTTTGGTATGCCCTCTTCTTTGCCTACTGCCTCTTCAGAGCCATAGGAAGATGCAGAATTCCAAGGAACTAGACCTGAAATATCTACAAAGTGTTCCAGGTTTTCTATAAACGACAGCAAAAACCTTGCTAATGACTATTTCTGGTCCCAGACACACTCTCACCACAGAACACACCAAGCATCCCTGTTCTTCTTCCACCCTTCCACTTGCTCAAGGAGCAAGAACACACCAGCACAAGGCATTAAAAAAAAGTGTAAAAAGAGGTAGTGAGAGCACACAGAGAGGAATTTAAGGGGTAGAAAGACCTGAGAAAACTCTCAAAGGAGGAACACACTCAGAGAAAAACTAAAGATATTGCTAAACATTTTGGTCATGTTGTTGTGCACATGTCATGGAGCTCTTCCCTGGCGCCACAGCACTACTTCGGGGGAATTGCACCATGGATACGTTGAGTCCTCACTGCCTGCCCAAGGTGGTCAGCATCACATTGCAGCTGCTTCCCAACCAGAAGCAGTCAGTATTCAGAAAGAGTAACTTCGATATCTGATAAAAATCTGCTACACCACGCAGCCGGTACTTGACACGTTGTACGACTGTGTGGAACAGCACAGCATCATCTCACATATAAACAAGTATGAAGTCCTTCAGCGTTGCTGAAGGCTGCCGAGTCCCAATTTGTGTGTTTCTAAATGCAAAAGCACACGGGAAGGTTCAGCACCCCCTCATCAAATGGAAGTACTTTAGCCACAGTTAGATCTGGTATTGCAAATGATGTTCCTTTCTCATGATGCAAAGCTAAATGCTTAACACTCATCCAATCTTCCCCAATACAATGATTTCCTATAAAGGAATTGATACAGCAATACGCTCAGCCTTCCGACAGTGCAACAGCAGTTTTGCACAAATGAAACAAAAAATTGTGGAAACTGGGCATCCAGAGCTATCAACAGTGAGATACAATACTATGATAAGGACGTATCAAGCCACTTTTTTTAATGAGGAGATTTAGTCTAAAACACCAAACTTCGTAGCATGCATGTGCAAATCCCAGTCCATTGATGTTGAAGATGCTGGAAACGGTAGGAAATGAGGCAGACTCCAAACCACCTCTGATCAAGGTACGGTAAGCTCAAAAGCCATGACAACTTTCAGCAAACAAAATAGTAACACTCCTGCTATAACTTTGCTTCTGAAATGTCCACCAGTGCTGCATCCAAACCATTCCTGACTGCTGTGTTCTGATACAAGACAAAACAAGATCTCTTGTTTTGTTGTAGTCCTCTGTGCAAGTGGGAAAAAAAGTAAGATGTGAGACACCATAACATTCCTGGAGCATGGAGTCATGAAAGCAAACCATATTAAGCACCATATTAAAATAACCTTCACTGAAGAGGACGTATGTAATCATCTAAAATGTACTTTTGTGCAGAGTAATACAACCACATCTGTCAAATGCGTGTTTCATAAGAATGAAGATGCTTAAGGTTAAATGGAAAACTGCTGTGCTGCAGACATTTTTCTTGAGCACTAAATGCATTAATTGTCTAAAACAATCAGTACACTGGGTACTTAAGGAAAGGTATGTTTATAATCTCTGATGAGCAAAACTGCTTTTAATGGCTTTTTGTACTACCATATTCACTGTTCATAAAAATACCAACATGCAAGAGAGAACACAGATCTGAGGGAAGGCTTGCAGCACAAACCCCTCTGAACATGGCATCTAAAGGGACAGTAAGAATCAGTTTATTCATTCCCGCAACAGTATGTTTAGTTAGTACTTGTTCCCATGCAACCCAAGCCTGGAGCACCCATTCCTGTGTTATGTGCACGTAACAACCTCTTCCATCCAGTATCATGACTTTAATGCCTTGAATTCCAGGAAAGGAGGTGGTAACACGGCTCTTTTGGGCATTCAGTGATTTCATTAACTACTCCCTGAAACAGTCCTCAGGCCACAGGATACAAACCTGCCAGAAACAGGAGTATGGGTAGGAACTCACACATGAAGGAATGAGCACCAAATTCTTAATTTCGTTCCGCTCAAGTGGAGGAACTTGTTCCTTCTCCTCCCAGCACCTTTACACTCAACTTTAATGTACTGCCTCCAAGCCCAGAAGGGATGGCCGCTGACCAGACACCTGCACGTTTCTGCAGCCTTCTATCACCAGTGCTGCACCAGCACATGCTGTACATGTTGCACCCAGTTCTTCTGTACGGTGCAGCTATAAAGCACTAAGTGAAATCCTACTCCTCTGTTACACAGGGTAACTAAAAGGAGAATTAATCCCAGTTAAAGGTGAGTGACATTTATGCATTATTAAGGAAAATGGAAAGCCAGCTTTCCTGTATCAACTGTGCTTTGAATGCGCAAATACACTTCTAAGGATTTGAATCAGCACTAATAGAGTTTGTTGATACTAGTGAATTCTGCAGAGTCTTGAACTTTTGCTAAAGGACCTTTTTGTCCCCTTTTTAAAAATGCAAGGCACTATAAATACGGTAAAACAAGCAGAGCACATAAGACAAAGGAAAGTGTAAATATGCACAAAGCTCAGCAAAATTACACAAACCTAATAGGAAAAAATAAAAAAAGAAGAATTTATACTAGATCTTACTGTGGTAAGTGTCGAAAGTCTTCTGAATACTGTTCATATTTGTAGTTCACAACATGCCACTGGGAACTGTAGTATTTACAAGCCTAAAGAGAAGAAACACAAACAACAACAATAGAATTACTACAACTGTTTAGACTCAAGAAGGCTAGAGAACTAAAAGATCCGAGAGAGTCCTTTGTGCTAGAGAACACGTTCTCCTCTTTTATAGCTGGGTGTACAGTTCTTAAAGGAAAGTCGGAGTTGTGTGTTTCCACATTTTGAAGCACAATTTCCCTTTTAAATCAAATGCACTGAATCATACAAGATGGAGGAGGGGGCTGATAGCAATTTAATGTCTTACTGATGCTGTTCTACTCTGGAGGAAGCATCATTAAATTATATCACTACTACCTCAGATGACACTACCTCGTTTAGGCCTGACTTTCTCCGTGGACACTAATTATACTTTTTTTTTTTTGCATTCTGTTTCATCACTAAAGCCTTCCACTATAAATACATTTACCCTACTCCCGTTATTCCCCCTTGTTGCAGCACAAGCCCTCTACTTCTTTTCTGCCCTTAAGGATTGATCTTTAACCTCTTAACAACATTCATAAATATATTAATAGGACTATCGTTTCTCACCAGAGCCTCATTTTCCTTTCCACACTGAATTTGCTCAGTCATCTCATCATCTCCTTGTAGTTTTTATGTTCTAGAAAACTTCTTGCTGGTTTTGTATTCCTCTTTGGCATTGTTATTAATATATCAATCTCCCTTAAATAAGAGAACCAGACCAGGACAACAACTATACCGAAGGATTTCACTATGCTGTCAGAAAGATCAGAGTAACTGTGCGATTTACTCGATGCAGAACTTTTATCAATGCAATTAAACACAACATGACATTTTTAGAGGCAACAAGATGCATGAAATACAGTTGTTGATAAGGAACAAATCTACAAGAAAAACGACACGTCCGAATTCCCAGTGATTCTCGCTACAGAGTATAAAATGCAAACTGATAGTTGTACAGTATGCTGAAGAATTTCCTCCAGTACTGTATTATTTTCTCCCCACACTCCACCTGAACATTTGCACCCACCCAGGTCAGATGGACAGGAAGAAAGACAGGGATCAAGCCTAAAACCTAACAGTAGAAGCTGCTGCCCAAGGCCACAGGGAAAGGAGGCACATAAGGAAGGACAACGGTAACAACAAGGACAACAATCTATAGCAAGAGAAAGAAGCAGCAGCATTGAAAGGAATCTGAGGTGGGAATAGGAAAGAGAGTCTCACAGAAAGGCATGGGAGGGATAAGGCTCCAGGAAACAAAGAGAATGGAATACAGGATCGATCAAAGAAATTCAAATGCCAAAAGCTACACAGAGAAAGTGGAAGAAAAGGTAGCAAAGGGACAAGATAAGTTAGTACTCTGACCGACCTGGAGTATTCCCTCTCTTCCCAGCCGGACTCTTCATGGGAGTTGTTGCTTACAGTGGTCTATGCCTCCGCGGGACAGAGAGGGGATTATATCAGGCTGCTGGGGCAAAAACTGAGATGGGCTGAAAACTTAAAGGTGGTGCTTTCTAAATTACTCAGCACTGGCTTAAGAAACCTCCTTTTTAAATCTTGTGTCAAACATGCAGAGTATGTAGCCACCAACAAACTTAGGAAGTCATCTTGGGTGTGGTCAGTCTTCTGTGACAGCTTTATTTGTTTTAGAATATGGAAAAGGCGGCAAGGAAGCGGATGCACATTTATAGGCAGTTCTCTACCTTGGCACTGAACTGGGCAGTTGAGCACAACCAAAGGCAGTCTGCAGCAAGCACGTTCCATGGGGATCTCGCATCTGCTTGCAGGTCTGACATAAAGCCTCCTTATCTTACAGGATGCAGAATAAAGTGTGACCATTAGACAATATAAAATAATCCCCTATGCTCTGAGAATGAACATAATACTATAGCATTACAACTGACTAACTCTCCACCTTGCAGGGTAAGGTCCAAAGCCCCCTGTGACAACCATGCCCGTACACCACTCCAACACTGTTTGCACTTTGCCTTTGAACAGAGAAAAAAAAACCCAACACACACCCACCCCCTTTTTTTTTTTTTTAAAAAAAAATAAATAATGCATCTTCATAAAACAACTTGGTAACTCCTGCATTTGCGTGATCTAAGTTTTTATCTAAGCTATTTGATAGTCACCTGGGCTACAAGAATACTCTTACAAGAGCAACATATACTCTGTTCTACACGAGTCAATGAAAAGCTCATTCATAGAACATTGTGAGGATCAGCACAGACCCTCCAATTCACACTTCACTTGCTTTCTATTTGGCAAATGTAAACCAACTGAACCTTCTACAGAAAGGACCACTTTTTCCCCATGGTACTTTCACTGCTAAGTATTCTACTTAACAGATGCAATTAAAGCCCACAGAGAAGTCTCAACGCAGGATTTCATTGCAAGCATTATAGGCTGATGTGTTCAAAAAACCAGTTGTGAATAACATATAGTGCAGGCCACAGTATTTTAGCTTATAACTATAAAGGTTTGTTGTGCTCCACCAAGAAAAAGCTAATCAAAATAAAAATCAAAGGGGACAAGCAGCACATTCAAGTATCATGCAGTAAATTCACAAAAGGCAAGCCAATTCGGTGCAATAGCTAATGCTGTTCTTGAACAAGCTTGTTGCAGCTATCCATCGTAAACTAGATCTACTTTAAAAAAAACAAACACAAACAACCACAAACAAAAACTTACAGCGTTTTCTTTTCAGAACCTCCCAACTAAACAACAGATTCTTCTGCTGACTGTACTGACTTTTAATGATTTTTTTTTTTTTGCAATTGGAAATTATTGATGAAAAATACCCGCGAACCTGATTTGAGGAGCAAGAAAAACCTTTCTAGAGGCAGAGATTCCATCAAGAGGCCAGAGCTGGATCCTACCGTTCCTGGCACAGAGCGGAGGCACCGGCGCAGGGGCTGTTGAGCTCAAGTGGACTGTGGGGGAGGAAAAATATAGACGGAGAAATGGAAGCTTTGGGACGTGGGAGGGTTGGCACATGTTTGCATGAACTTTCTTCCCGTATTGTTGACCAGGCAGGCTGCACAGCCCATTCCCAAGGGCCCTATCAAATTCCGGTCATTTCTTTTTTTTTTATTTATTTTTTCTTGTTGCTTAGCTGGCCTAATTTTTACTTAGAGAGACAGACAATCCTGCAAGCTTTTTCCACCTGTAAATTCTTAGCTTTGCTTCTGGTGAGGACAGCACGATGGCTACCACAGTGAAAGAAGCACTTAAAAAAGATTTACCCTGCAATGCAACTGAACCTTTGTGAGGGGGAAAAAAAAAAAAAAAAAAAAAAGAGAGAGAGAATGGAAAGCGAGGGAAACACAAATGAAGAATGAAGCAAACAACTTGAAATATTTGAAAGTAACTTCCCTGATTATATTCTAAGATAGCGCTAGGTATGTGGTTTTCAGAAATACAGATGCACATACGATAAAAGTCATTCATGGGACAAGTGGGCTTCTTGCAGAGAAACTGCATGCACAGAGCAATCCCTCACCCTTGAAGGGCGGCTATTTCTGAGGAGGAAAGCAGATGTTGAACAGGGAAAGGCAAACCCATGCAAGAGCTTGGAAACTGAAAGCAAAGGCCTTGCAGAGCTGGATGTGGCCCCAGTGTGAAAGGGGAAGCCGCAGAGATAGCTCTGCGCTCTGCCCTGTGACCGGGGACACACATGGCGCTGCTCATAAAGGCTTCCCAACCACTTCTCCCTCCTCTGACCTCTGCTGCAACAACCGAAGGCGGCGCACGGGGATTTGGGAAGGTGGAGCGGTCACCCTGGCTCGAAATTCAGCGCTCCACGCCAGGCGTACCCTGCTCCCTTACGCCCACGACAAGCGCGGCAGCGTCACGACTAGCTGCTGGCAACCTAGACCTGCATTTGGGCGCTCTCAAAGCTGCTTCCAGATTAACACAGTTCACACATATGGTAAAGTCCAGTGACACAGCAGTCTAACAAACCAAAGCATTAAAACACAGTACTGTTTTAAGGTATTAAGCATTTTAAAAAAAAACCATTTCCCTATTGTGCTATCAAAAGACGCACTGCCCTTTAATAGTGTATGTCACTGTCCTGACAATACAGTTGTTTAAAGTCCTGAAAGCACTTAGATTTTGTAGTTGGGGAAATATACACTGTGATGAGCAATAATAAAACTTTCTTTGAGGCATTTATCAACAGGAGTTCCCATTTTAATTTGACTTTGAAATATGTAAGAGCAACGTGGATTAGCCTGTAAATAAAAAAGCCTCAGAAATCAACTCTATGGACACACAACCACTTTCAGCAGTTATAGAGAAGGCTGTGGCTCTTTTAACATTGTGACTAATAAAACTCACGTTTAATTATTACTTACAGATCCTGTAGATACAACCTGCAAAATTTCAAATGAAAAAATCCCCCAGATGAATGGCGAGGGCTCCAAAAAAAAAACTTACTGCGAGTGACAACTCCAACTTTTGTACCTCGAAAATCTCCACAGGAAAGTTAAGAGGCGTTCACATGAATACTGTACTACAGCAGACAAAATTAACTACGTCATCCATCAAATGGAATTTCAATATTCTTACACTGTTATTTCATTTTGCTGTAGAGCTTTTCAGCCAGCATAGTCCCTACTGCTCTAAGGATAAAGTGTGAGGACTACACTTACACCCACAAATGAAAAGGAGCCAACACCGGGGTGCAGGAAAGCTCAGTCTCAACAGCTCTCCCCAGCAAGCTCGCTTCTTCATGGTCCTCACCTCTAAGAGTCACTTCCATAAGTCAAAACACCACAATTTGACATCCAATACAGAGTCCCTGAACAGGTTTAAGTACTGCTGCACGTGCAGAGTGCCATTAGCATACTCTGTTCCGGGTTTACCTCAGGCTCCCTCACTTGAGTGTGCTGGCAGATGCCAGATGTCACACGCAGGACACAATCAGGTCACACATGCCATTAATTACTGGCCTCTGTTCCCAGGCTTTTTCCAACAGGTTGCTAAGAAGACAACTGCCTAGATATCCCTGATTTGAAAGAAGCAGTTGGCTCTACAAGAACTTTTAAAGCTACAAGCACGCTCAAACACAGCTCCAGAGTGCTGGCCGATTTCTGAAGGAGACAGGCCTGGCTTGAACCTATGCAAGTTGGTCCTTTGATAATACTAACAAGCCCCAAATCAGCCCATCTGCACCATAGGAGGCAATTGACCTCAGGGACCAGTAAGAAGTGCACAGGTGCACAGCAGAATGATGGTAGCAATAGGATTTTAAGAACACAGCGTGAACTCCATCAGCTTTGCTAGAAGATAGATGAGACCCCCAGCGATGGCACTTGCAAGCTGGTCCAAGGCTCTGCAAGTCACCAAAGGAGCCTTTCCTCTCGCAGCCACTGCTGCTGGGTCAGAGTCTGATGCAAAAAGGATGGGTCAGGAGGCACCTGGTCTACCTGGGAGGGAGAGAGGGATGAGGTGGCTTCTCAAAGGTCCCTCTGGGCTTATTTTCCACAATTACACTGCATAAACATAGGGCAGCTTCTGCAGCCAACTGCTTCGTCCTCCTCCTGCCTGCTTTCTGAAAATACTGACTTGATGCAAACCAATATGGGATTAAATATGTTGCAATTATGTATCTTAAGTTCCTCAAACTATACGTAACTTTGAACTGCAAAACGCACTATTCCTTTTCTGTTCCCAACTGAAATGTGGGAAGAATCCCAAGGATTGCCATTTGATCTGCATATTCAGGAATACAGAATTGGGAAGGGTGATATTAGGAATGTTTTCACTGTCTAAAAGGAAGAATTTTATTTTGTTTCTTGTGGAGTGAATGTTTCTATTTGCCAAAATTATGGACCATGAGGACAATGTTGACTGGCATAAATACATGCAGCAGACTACGAGAGTGAGGAAGTTTAGAATTTGGGAGAAACCGCATGGTACAGTACAGAAGGACTTCAAGGAAGTCAGGAATGCTTAGAAAAAATAAATACTGAAGACAATTTTATTGCAGCCTTAAGTTTCTGGAAACTTCTCTACTCTTGGAACTGAATTTAGTTACTCAAGCTCCTCCAACCTAAGAAAAGTTAAGGTGGAAAAAACCACAAGGAAAATATCCTAAGACGACTACATGTATAGGAATGATCGATTCACAAAGTATTACCTAATTATTAGGTATATTCTAAAGGTATAATTTAATAAGGGAACTCAGATATGAATCAATCATATAATGTAAAATATTTATTCTCTTTGCATCCTACAGAAAATATTTAGTTATCAAAGGATTATTTATTTATTCAAGTCACTTTAATTTTAATTCTCATTTTACAGTTTCAGCAGAAAGAGAAGTTTAGACATCTTATTTAAATTAAATTCTTCTGCCTTGCCCATTACCATAACATCTGAACATCACCAACAGAGAAAGTTTTAGGTGACTGAGGAACCTAAAGGCAGTATTAGGAGAACTGAATTAGACAACTAAAGGCACAAACCTTCCATTGCAGGTGGACAGCATCAAATGCTATCCATACTGAAAGCCCTCCTCAGCAACATCAGCCTCAACTTTCTTCAGATCAATCTGGCTTGTCAGCAATTTTGCATCCAGAAACCGATACTGCACAGGCAATCGAGTCATCCTGGCGTGCCTCTAAGTACTGTTTACGATCACCTGAGCGAAGGGAATCTGATCAAATCCCCAAGCTGTCACATGTATGGATTTTGGTAAGGGCTGGGGAAAAAAAAAAAAAGCAAAAAACCCCGATCCTTGAAGGACTCTAGCAATGAAAGATCTAGAGGTGGAAGTAAAGCCTTCCTACCGTCACTAGTAGGACACAAATGCCCAGGAGGAGACACACAGGGTTTTAAGGTGTTATCACAGACTTCTGACAACCCTTTTAAATGACCTGTCAGTACCTTATAGACAAGATCTGAACACCACCAAATTTTCGGAAGGATGAGACAGGAGATCACGGATCTGAGCTCTTGAAATAGTTTCAGTACCATGTCCTCACACTGCACCACGTGAAGAAAGTTAGTTTCACCTTCAACAGCAGACCCTTCATTTGTAATTAACTGACTTGCTCCATGTCTTTGTGTCAACTTGCTAAACTACTGAGACAGTGTAATATACATGAATCGTCAGAGATAGCCATTACTACTTATGGGGAACACCAAAAATGGCTTCAGGGAGATGAAGCCGTACCTTGCCTTTGCATAGCTTCCCCAACAGTCCGATCAGGAATTAGATGCTCGGTCCCAGGTTGTAACAAGTCCAGTTGACCAACAGATAGTCAAGTATGTACACGATGGATGTCTTCTCTGTTCATGATATCATAGTATATTTGAAGAAAGAGAAGACTCCGTCACCGAGTAAAGCGTTAGCTTTTTCACAACTCCAAAAAAGAAATGAAGGTCACAAATCTATTCCAGAAGTGCTGAACACCAGCGCGGAACACAACAGGCTGCTGCTGATTCAGTACAGATTTGTGCCCAGTTGCTGCAGTGGACTACAAACACAGATCTTCACAGCACCCCATGCTCAGTTTTACTTAGTTTTGGACTAGAAACCATCCTCTTCCTGGAGCTTAATTTATTTTATGTATAGTTTTTGGCTTTGTGGCAAAGTGGAACATATGCATTACTACCTTAAAAAAGAGTCTTATCCTGCTACTATTCCATGCACTGGCTTAGTTCTATAGTACTGTTTTTTTCCACTGCTTTGTTCCTGTCTCCCCCTCCCCTTGGCTCACTGATATTGCAGAGAAAGTTAATAGATGTGCTCAATATGCATTTTACCAGGTTGTCATTAGCATCCCCTTGGAGTACTCAGCTGTAATGATTCCCAGACACTGTGCACTACGTTCCATTTTTAGACCCACCACTTTCTCTGTAAAGCCATGAGCACAGTGCTGGCCTTGCAACTTGTGGAACCTTAAAATAAAAAGCAGACCCCAAAGTGCTGAAAGGGCAGCGAGGCTTCTGGGAAGGTAGATAATTCCACAAGCTATGTTATCTTTTAGCCCTACTGTCAGATTAAGAAAGATGGCAAAGTTCAGGCAATTTGAGCTGGCAGTAAATTGTTATTGCTCTTTCTAGACCTGCTGGAGAGAAACAGGGCCAGCCTGTAAAATGTCATGTTGCATACAATTCAACAGCTAAATCTCTGCCCAAGATTGGCTTTTATTTTTTCTAATCCCTGTGTTTGTCTGCAACTGACTTTTGCTCCACAAATTATCTTGCAGTTACAGCGCGTTTAAAATAGCCCATACTCATGCAAACCAGGAAGCCAGGTACGAAAAATCCCAATCTGGGAAAAAAAGCCAGAGAATATGCACATTACAGGCTAATTATAAGTGCTTGGAACTAAATCCCTTATAGAAGCTGGCTGAAAATTTGTTTTCATACATCTGTTCTGTTAATGCAAATGATGAGCTACACTTTACATCTCCAGTGAAAAGATGGGGAAGGTTCAGGGAGCCATCTAAAGGAAATTCCTTTGAATAGTGCAACCAGCAATATCCTTCAAAGTGATAAAACCAGTGACAACCTGAAATATCCCTGAGGTAGCAGGAAGAACAATCTTCTACAGTCTGAGATCAGGTATGGAAATAATGCAACTATAGTTTTTTTAAAGGTAGAACAATTAATCACCCCTGGTGGGGCTCTAACTGCCATGGGAGAACTTTGCTTGACTTTCTGCTATGAAGGTAGAATAGACTGTAAATACTGACAACAAATATAAACCCCTACACATCCTTCAGAGTGCAACTACTCCTCAGGTAGCTATAACATACACCTCCGAATAAGATACATACCTTGTAGTAACTCTAACAGTCTAAACCAGTGTCAAATAGTTATCTTTTTCGGGAAAATATCGACATTTTCAAAATGCAAAGCATATTCAGATTACCAATGTTTAGCACTCATGTAAAAATACCAACATCAGTATCAGTGGCCTAGTAAGTAACGGGGAATGCAGCTGGCAAACAGTAGAATGAGAGGCTGATTCAGTGCATTTGCAATTTTTCTAGATACAAAATACCTCAGAATAGACACCTGCAGATATGCTGTTAACCCTCCCCTTCCTTCTGGCCTCCAAAATTCAAACCCGATTCAAATCACCTAAACAATATTAAAAGAAAAAAGATGTACATTGTAATCATAGCAAGCCTCCCCCAAACCCTTGGCTTTATTTAAAATTAAAAGATAGGCACACTAGATATTTACCTCTTTAACAAATAAATTTTCTGCTTTTTGTTCTGCATCTTCAGGTACAGAAGGGTACAGCGTCCTGATTTCCAGAGAAATTGTGTCTGTCTGACAACAAACAAAAAAAGCAAATTAGTCAGAGTAACAGAACAGCAGTTTTGTCTCATGAAGAGGTTAAGAACCTTATTATCATGGCTTGCATTTTTCAGTTTGTCATGCAGCCAATACACATGCACAGCAACAACTACAACCCAGCTCCTGCCCACACAGCTATTCAATACTATCAGCTAAAGCATTAATTACAAGCAAGAGCGGTGTTTGAATAGATTTCTGGGAATAAAGTTGTTCCAAGCACACTTGCTTCAGTCTCTGAGGTTTCTGATAAAAAAAAGTCATGAAGTCTTCCTCACATCCTCTCCCAGAAATATAAGCCAAATCCAACAGCGTTCCTTGCTCCCCCCACTTCCCTTCTGCACCTTGTGCCTTTTCAGCGAGGAAGGTGAAAACAGAACTAAAAGCTTTGGCTCTTTTGGAAGGCAAAGAGAGGAGCAGAGAGTCCTCCCAATGAGTTGCAAAGGGCCACCACAGGACAGGTCAATGGTTGGAAAGCAAGTGGAACCAGGCAACAGCTTCTCAGAGGGGCATTCCCACCCGTGGGCGCCGACAGCAGAGCAGGATTGGTGTGGGACTCCCGACGTTTCCCGCAACCTCCTTTCGCACTCAACAGACACTGCACAAATTAAGCCATTTTTTTGAAAGCAGCTCCTGACTGAGCTGCCTCATCTGGCCCCGCAGCAGGAAACAACACAGAGAAGTGGATGTCCAGAAGGCGTGCACAAGGAGCCAAACTTCCCTTAGCTCCCTGCAGGCCAAGAAGAGGCCAGGGCCACCAGCAGTGCTCCCCTGAGTGACCCAGGGCCTCCATGCGCAGCTCGGGCAAGGCAGCCACTTTGCAAAAGTCACATGAGAGGAAGCTTTGGGCTATTTTGAATTAATCAACAGATCTGGCCCACTCATTTTCTTTGCCTTAAGAGGGGAAAACAAAACCAAACCCCAGCAGACCAGATTATGCTCGCAGTTACAACGGAGTAACTCAACTCAGGACAATGAAGGACTGAAACCAAGATGAATCTAATCTCCCAAGCTCATTTTCTTTTCCATTACAGAAAGGCACATGATTTCTGGAGGAAGGCCTATGACATACAACTGGTTTAGTCAGAAGAACTACTACTTACTAATACCATGAAGCAGCCTGCAGTATCACCTGTGCCCCTGGAGGATCTCCTCCCAAGCCCCAGTCTCAGAGTAAAAAACTATGTTTTTTCTCTGCAAACTGCAGCACTCAGACTCGGTGTGACAATTGCCTGGATATTATTGACTGCATTTTTCCTTACAGCTTACACAGACCACACTGATTCTCCCCCTTTCCATATAAGTAATTATGAAAGAAAGACATCTCTCCACTCAGGCAGATGCAAACGTCATGGGATTCCCTAAACTTTTTGTGTTTCATCAGGATAAAAAGTGATTAAAATACTTTGGCTCCCACAAATAACAATGGTGCCTTGTAGAGATCATGAAGTGGAAAAAACCATCTTGTTCTGAAAAACTAAGCGCAGGTTTGTAAATGCAGGTTCCCGGGCTCTACCCAGCTGCATTATCAAAGCCAGTGTGCAGTGGAGATTTACACAACCATTTAGTCTATGAGTAAAAGAGACAGCAGATGCAGAAGTAGGAATTTTCAGGCCACATTTAGTAATAGTGAAGATGACTGAATCCTTGGTTGCTTAGGGACTTCCCAGCAGTACCCACAGTCTCTGGAACACACTTCATTACTTTTACTTCACACATACATGACATTTTAAGTTCCTTTTTTAAGTGTTCCTGAGAAGACGCAATCCCTCAGTACAGCTGAGAACCCACAGGTGCCGCTGAGGTCCATCATACAGAGTTCTTCCCGGGGCTGGGGCAGCACCGCCAGCAGCAGCAGCCACAAAGCACGCACATAGTCCTTTCGTGATATCACCGCTGCTGAAGATCAGCTGCTGTTTCCAGACTAAAGCAGAGTGGGAGGTCACAAGAGAAGAGACGTGTGATGTACTCTGTACCTCGCACTGACCCTGTTGGGATGGTGACTAAGCTGCAGAGAGACCACCAACCTCTTCTGCTTGCCCGTAACAAAATTATCTGCCTTATGTATTACACAGAAAATAATTTCCAGTATTTTTTTTTAGACAAATAGTAAGTCAATTTTTTTGTCTAATACGCTTCTTGTTAACTGATATCAACACATTGACCAAGACAGCTAACGTTTACCTTCATGGGGTCATTGTGCCTCCCTTCCCTTACACAGCTTGTTAAAAAGACTGTAGCTGAACACAACATGTAACTCAAGCCCCCTGTTTCACGTGTGGTACGCTCCCCAACTTTCCTTCTCAACAAGACTGCACTTGCAAGAAAGAAACACAGCCATGCAGAGAAATCAGGTAACACTGGGCTTGTCGCGTTTGCAGACTTTGCCAAAGAATATCACAGGTTTATTTGCACAGAGTTGGGACGTGGAAAATCTTGTGTATTCTTATATTTAAACTGGTTTTAAAAACTACAAAGCACTTCCCTTCTGAGAATTAGTTATGTTCAACCACTTAGCTGCAAAAGCCTTGCCACAAAAACACTTCCTGTTCATAGCTGATTATTTCAAAAGTTAAATGCTCTTAAAGGCTGATCAGGCATAGCATGTATTCACCAAAACCTTTTTACTTCAGAAAACAACTAAATTCCAACAACAGACTAAATGCTTCTGAAAGGCTCATTAAAAAAATAAAGGATTTTATTTACAGAATTCAGCGTTTATTAATGTGCTTTGAATGCAGGCTATTGTTTAGGCAATCACAGCAATTGTCTGTCCAAAGCAGCAGCCAACTATCTTCTCATTTGCACATGCAAACTGTGATAACCAAATAATGCAAGTATCTGCCTAAAACATTAAATTCCATCATTCTCCTGAATTATTTTTTTAAATCTGTTTTATATAAATATCCTATATCAAGCAATGATTTCTGGCATTCACCCAGGCTATCTCACCTGCATAAACTGTTGGCCCCAGGTGTCTGATTAGCTGTAAGGTGCAATTTCATTAAGCGCCCTCTCTTGCTACATCCCCTTTCTACAGTGAAAGCCACAAGTTAATATTGCTCCTTATCAACAATTGATTAGGAATAATGTTTTCAGACAGTGTCTGCTTCTCACTGGCACGCTGAGTTTAGTATTTGAAAATGGAGTTCCAACTCCATTAGCCATTTCAAACATTTTCACTTCGAATCTATTCTAATAGCTTTTAGTCTGAAAGCATGTTACCAGTGGTTAAATCTTTAGACGGATGCATCAAACATGATTACATGTACTTCCTGCAAAGGCAGCCCTTCTAAGAGAGCTAACCGCACGCCGGCAGAAATGTCCCTCTCTGTTAATGCTTACGATTCAATCTCTCTAAAGAAAAGCTGGTCAGCCCCATTTTCATCCAAGTAAACAGATTTACTTATCATTACCAAAAATTGTAATGAGATAGTCCATCAAATTAAAAAGCGGGATAAGATGCAACTTTGCTGTACAAATACCGCTGTGCAAATGCTGTCGCTACACGGGGCTCCCGACAGGCTGCTGTCTGCTGTCCCAGCACAGACCTCACCAAGGAGGTACACGTGTGGGGGCAAAGCAAAAGGAAAGCAAGCACAGAGCACATTTAAAGAGAAGATTCCGCCCCATCACTCACCGAATCGCATTCAGTGTGAGAGGCTATGCTTTGCCCACACAGTGTTTTGCTTTGCTGACTGCATTAGCTCTCTCTATTTAAATACTTGGAGCGTATCCCTCTAAGTCCCTCTCGCTTTCCTGATCCTTCCAGTCGATGCAAACTTGCACATCAAGGATCCCCATATTCCATTAGTCATGAGAATAATGGACTCAACTTCTGCACCTCTAAGGATGAGCAGGTACTGCCTGTCACATGGGAAAGTGGGAGAGAAGGCATGTGCTATTGAAAATAACCCATGGTCTCACCACTGTAACTCTTCTGATCTTAGAAATACCAGTCAGGTTTAGAGGGTTATTTCCAAGGAGGCCCCAAGTCCTGCGCTTAGAGCTGCCCCTATGGCACACGCTCCATGTTTCACGTGAAGAGGCAGTGTCGTCACTTACTCTTGCCCTCTCCCCTTAAAGATGCATCTGGTTCTGTTGTCAATTTCTCTATCCAAAAGAACAACTTTTGTCCCTGCACAACATCTAGACAGAAGAGGTTTCACAATCTGAAAAATAAGGAGATTTTGGCTCTTCCCTGTTCAGCGCTGAAAAAAAAAGAAGCCTGGAAACAGCCACACCTGCAGTGATGGAGAGTATCAGCACTACACAACTCAACCATTCTTCTAAGGCCTCTGAGATACTGGAAGGGCACCTGGATGGGCTTTCAAGAGCCCAGAAGAGCCAGGAGCACATGTCAGACTGAACTTCAATAGGCTTTGCATCACACAGATAAGCTTTGCCATCTTACACCTGTCCTAAATTTAGGCAATGGATTATTATTTCTATTGCAGGTTCAAATCAGATATTCAGCCATATTTGTACAGATAGTTTAGGGAAGGCCGAGTTCCACTTTTCAGAGATTTTAAAAAAACAGTACATGGGGAGAGAAAGAGGAACAAATTTTTACAACCCAGAGAGTTTAACATGCTTTTATCCCATAACAAATTGAAGTACCTATTAAACACTTCCAGCTACCTTTTTATGACAATTAACTTATATTTATCAACATATACTTAGTTACCAAACCTCCACACAAGTAAAGGTATTAGCAAAGCGGTGCTGAGCCTGTTGCCACTAAGGGAAGGCACCAACGATTCTAAGCAGGACTTGAGATTCTGGAGAGATTTGAAAAGAGACTGCTGGGTGTTCAGTGAATTTCCTAAGGATAGTGACATGAAGAAAGGACAGAAAAATACTTATGAAAGAATACAACAAGCATTTTGCTTGGATACATGAGGGCACTTAGGAGCAGAAGTACAAATATATGACAACAAATCTGTACAAGACTAAGATGTTAAAGGTTAAAGGTTGGAGGGAGACCAATCTGAAGTTAGTTGTCATACTTCTTTCACAGCCTCCTTCCCAGTAAACACGTAGGAGAAAAGTGAGAAAGAGGAATACCAGACAGCCAGAGGCTCCCCTTGTCAAACGAGAGTGTGGCCAGGTCTGGGGAGCAGAAGGTGAATGAAGCATGGTAACCCAATAGCGAGGATACACACCTAACAGCATCACCACCAAGCACGCATTTTTATGAGCACAACAGGAAGCCCATCAACTCCCACTTACTACCACCAAGAAGTAGAGCGCGAGCTCGTACTCATGTGACAGGGAGTTTCTGTGAAGCTCTGCAGATCCTTCCTCCACACAGTTGCCGTATTGCTGCAGAAATTTCCACTGGCCATTACTTCACAGCACAGCAAGAGAAGGGTAGTTTGTTCACAGGATGCAGGAGCAGGTGAAAAATGACGCTGAGCTGACATGTTTTTTTCTCAAAGGGAAATAGGACTTTGGGCAGGCAGGAGGAGAGTTAGCAAGCAAGGCATTGCCAGGAAAACAAGAAGTGGAACTGATGTGAAATAATGATTTTTTTTTTAAAAAAAGGGTTATTAAGCACAGTTACAAAACAGTGAAGCACCTTTCTCCCCGCTGGAGTAAAACCAGAGAATACATCTTTGTAATGTATACTCTTGTATTCTTCTGCTGAAATTCAGGGAAATGGAGGAATACAGTCTATCAGGTTCAGATTGATACCGAGAACTCTTTGCCATTCCACAGACTTCTCGTAAGATGTTGGAAATGACCAACAAAAGTCTTACAAGAATAATTGCATTCTTGTTGAATTGTGAAGAGAGAAAGTAATTCTGAGACGAAACAAAAAACGAGACAGTACAGCCGCTATGATGATAACTGACCCATATCTGATGCATGTGATGAATACTACAGATCCAGAAATGGGAAATCATTATTAAAAGCAGAATTTTCTCTTCTGCTCACCACCTCAGCTAATTCTTTTGGTGGGGTTTCACTCTGAAGAGACTTTTGCCCGGAGGATGTGCTAATGTACAGGCCCAAACCTGGGCTGCATCAGCCCTGAGCCACAAAGTCTGAAGCAACTGTAATTGTTAGGAGTTAAACACTAACATCCACCATTTCCTGGGGCATTATCCCATTAAATACCACTCAGAGCCAGCCTGAGCACCTCCTAATTCAGTCAGACACGGATCTCTTCCTACTCAAATGGCTGACCCAGACTTTTGTGCACAGGTGATATTTCAGCACAAGGAGCAGGGCTCTACATAGACAGTCGGCAGCTGAAAACCTGGCTGCTCTGAAAGCTCTGCAGTCCTGCCTGGTGGCAAAGGCTCTTGTTACTGCAGCTGACTTCCACAGAAGATAATAAAGAAAAGAGACAGGTTTATTGCGAGGATACGGACCCTACCTACCACTGCCTCTGCTCTTCCATGAGTACAGGCCACCTCTATTACGCAGTACCTCTCTCATCTGTCTTAATATTTCCTTTTTTTTTTTATTTTTTATTTAAGTAGATAATGCAGAATAGTTGAAAAGCATTAACTCAGGGGAAACAAAATAGAAGTAGCTACTAGAAGCCAGGCAGCAACTGCTCAAAATGAAATGAAATTAAGGATATGAAAATATGGTTTGACAGGCAGAGGTCTTGAGCAGTAGGACATGATTCTTCTTTCACTGAGAGGGTTTGCTCCACTGACTTGAGCTCAGTTACTCTAAATCAAGGGGCTCAAGGGCCTTGTGACAGCACACAGTACGTCTAGTCAGCTTTATAATGCTAAATTTCAATTTCTTAAGTTCACAAATGTGCAAAATGGATAAAGGAATTAACGATGATGAGGAAATCTATTCTGTTCAGTTTTCTCTCAATCCCATGAGCACACTAACTCAGTTAATGCCACCAAGGAAATAGAGCCATTTAGTAAAACAAAGCAGTCGATTAGATTAAGCTGGCCCCGCAGGACAGCAGCAGTGCCGTAAGCTGACGGGAAAGGCCCTCACACGGCAGTTACAATTGGTCACGAATTGAAATGTATTTCCATTACAGAATGCCTGTTCATCAAAATCTAGATCTTTTACAGAGATTGGCTGATTTTGAAGAAGTTGCTATAAGATGCAGGCAATCTGCCAGCTTACTTGCCCAGCAGCACGCCTCCCCCGCCGCCCGGCAGGCAGCCCCTGCCCTCCTGAGCTGCCCTGTCACTGCCGTGGCGAGGGCTGCCCTGGACTTCCAGGTTCCCACGTTCTTTGCAGCTTGCCAGGAGAAGCAATGGGGAACCCGGGATGAGGTCAGGCAGCTCCACGGCTGCGGGGTCCGGTATCCACTGCCTGGCAGCATCCCCCCGTGGCAGCCTGCCTCAGCACTGGGGACTCCGCACCCCCCATCGCTCAGGATGCCAGATCTCAAACCTCACTGGAGCAGAATTTAAGACAACCCAAAACCAAACAAAAATCAAGTCCGTTTGGATTTATCTTTCTCTTCAATCTAATGCCAGCAATGGCAAAGCTTGGAAATAAGTCACAGCCACCGTCTAAATTGTCTGCCTTTGAGCAGAAGGCCAGGAATCATGGGCTGTCTGATTCTAGTGGCCAAATACATTAAACAGAATAGGATCAGAAAGACTGGATGTAAATTACAGCAGTGTGATCGAATTAGATTTTAATAGTAGGGAGAAATTCCAGCACTGGCCAAACCACCACTGTGCTGAGCAAACAGACAAGTATATGTTATGGAATAACATGTTTTCTGAGTTCCTGAAGTATATTTGGGAACGACCAGGGCTTCGAGTTTTATCTAATCCTGAACAGTAAATTCACTCATACAAATGTCAGAGAAAAAAAAAAGGAATTGGTGGGAGGGAAGTAAGGCCTTATATATAAATTAAGAAAATCTTAGAGAGCTCTCGGGCAACTTCTGGCTCTCCCTCTAGCAATGAAGATAAGATAAATAAATGAACAGGCAAACCTAAGAGAAAGAATAATACATATTTGCCTTGTACTTACTGAAAAGTCATCATCGGGGAATAATATCAGATCCTTAAACTGGTTATCTCCAAGATTTTTTTCAATCTCTGTGATAACAGCTTCATAATCCAAAGGTTCCAAGAGTCTGGGTTTTTCCTGCTGTGTAAAAAAAGAAAAGATCAGGCAACCTCTCTACACTCAAATTTGCCTTCCTCCTGCTTCATAAACTAAGATCTGCTGCATTTTTCCATTTATTTTTTTTTTTTACACCAAAATATGAATAACTTCTTCGCCACCCCGCCTCCATTCTTCCCAGCTTGTTGCAGCTGAGCTCATGCGAGAACAGTGGAAGTGAGGAAGGTGAATCAGTTCTAACAGTCACTCTCCATCTGACAACTCGAGAGCAATCTGTCAGCTCATTACAGAGACCAAACCCACCACATTAACTTACCTGTCATACCCAGGACTACTCTCTTCTCTTTCTCCGTAAATGCATGTAGGCAAATAGACAACAGACACAATTTGAACTGAACACAGATACGACTTTGAGCTAGTATGTTTTAGGATAAGTAACCTACTAACCTTCACTGTCTTACACAGTCCCACCTCTTCAACTGCTGGCAGCTTGTGAGTGCCACCACATTGTTTTACTTGGAAATAATTCAAGGTTATTCTCCTGGAATAAACTATCTGGCACCCAGCCCCATGGTTTCTCTGGTCAGAAATGAGATTAGTATCATTGCAGCAGTACTATCACTGCCTGAAGCAGAGGTAAAGTAAGAAACCACCACAGGAACAGCCAAACAAAAGTAAAGTCACACTGTCTCAAAACAGAACCCCAAAACAGAAAAAGAGAAGCCCATCTGACATACTAGAATCCATTAAACAAATGAACTCATGTATTAAACAAATGAACTAATGTATTAGAGTGACAGCATTTGCTTAATTCAAAGACTTAAGCATCAGAAAAAGTAAATGAGAAGGAGCAACAGAACTGCTAGAAAGGATGGAAAAGCAGGTGATGAGAGGGAAAAAGGACACCAGTGGACAGCATTAAGTTGTGCATTAAGTTCTATTTTACCCACTGTTCTTGTACTGTGCTACCCGTAAAAATATAAAGTTTCCCTCCCTCTTCTCTAAACCAAAACCATGGTGTACTGGAAAAGAAAGCTTTCATATCTCTACAAAACAAATTTTTCCAATGGACAATCTCATGATTCTCCATCATGTCTGATCATATATATATCATACACATATGGTCCATTACACATATAATGGTCCAAATATACAAGTCTCTCCCTCTTTTGACTTCATTCTAGAGAGTTCCTGTTTTTTCAGTAGTCACAGTCATCTCAAGATTTCTCCCCAGCCATTGTGAACACTGTTTCCCTTCTAAAGTAAGTTCAAGACTCCCTTTCGTATCAAATACATCTATGAAAAAATTCATTAAGTATCAGTAACACAGCCACACCAAATAGATTAAAACACTGGGATACACACATTCCTAGAAAGTTATTCGATTGCTGAACAGCTTGGGAACTCGTCCAGATGAGTCTTGAAAACCTCCAAGGATGGAGATGCAGTTAAAAAAGTTGGAGCTGTTCCTTCAACAGTTCAGTCCATTAAGTCTCTTCTCAGTCTATTAACTCTCTTAATCCTGTTTGCCATCTTAAGAGTTAATAAACTCCTAAAAATCATTAGTATTTAGCATTCACAGGCCAAAACCCCTATCTACTGATGCCGAGACATTAAAGACTTATAACAGTAATAAGTAGAACTTTTTTGAAAGCTCTTTCCCAAGGAAACTGGTTCATGAATGTTGCCGTGAGATGCGAGGGAGAGGCGGGAAAGAGAGGCAATACCTGACCTACCTAAATTTGCTGTATCCCTAACTATGAGCTCCCAGGAAACCACTAAAAGATCTGTTTGTATGAACAAAATAGAAGGGGATTCTGACATACAGATAGCGTGCTAGATTCCTTCCTGGATGAATCTGGAGATGTATAAGAACAGTTGTCTCTCTTGCCTTAGAGTTATGAAAGGGAGATTGAATTAGAAATAAAATTTGGGATTGTTAACAGAAAAAAGAAACTTATCTAGAGGGAGTCCACTCTAAAACACAAAAGGCCCAAATAAGAAGAAATTTAGATTCTGTGACAGGACCGTATACCAGTGTGTGATGTTCAAGTAAGACAAGATACCCTACTAGGACACATGAGACTTCATATTAACCCAGCCATGCTACTTTAGACTGTCCCAAGCTGGTATTTAGCCCTGGCCAGAACCAGTTGACACATTAATATCCAGTCCTGCTCAAGAAATGATCGGGCTGAGTAACAGTCATATTCTTTAGTGATGTTTCAGTCTGCTGTTTACTGACAGCGGTTCCCCACAGGAACATAATGGGTTCATCCAACCATCTCACCGCGCTCAGCTCGCTCTCGTTTCCTTTCAAGTTATGCTGAGTCACAGCAGTATCCTTTAGCCATGAGTTTTAGACTCTCCTTCATTAAACCTACCATTGTATCTATCTATTAAATATTCCTATATAGACATAACCTTCAAGGAATAAAAATACGAAGAGCAAACACCAGTGCACACTGAGCTTACCATCTCTTCTGTACCACTGATTTCAGGAACGATGCCCAGGTCTGAACAGAGTTCACTCAGTCCAACTTTAGCAGAAAGCAAACTTGTGGTAGCATAACTGTTACCTTCAGTAGGAAACCTTATAGCAACCACTTACAAGAAAACTCAAAGTAAAAGTGAAAAAATACACGTGTCGACATTTATGAGGTACAAGTGCTTCATGCAGGCATTTTTTCTGTGTAGCGGTTTCACTAAAACATGTACATTTTCTGCAGCAAGTTTGTGATACTGACTACACTGAAAACTCTCCCTTCCTAGAGCAGATACTCTTGGGCTAATGGTTTTGCAACAATCTCAACTTTTAATAAGTCAGACGTGCCACTGACACCATAAATGTCCACTCTTCAGAGAGGCATCAACACAATATTAATCTAGGTCTGATGCTCCTTAGAAACGTCAGGAATGTTAGCTTTCAAAAATCTCTTAAAAAACGTAAAGTAAGCAAATGACGTAAGTAGCCAACTTCCTATTGAAGTCATAGACTAAGAGCGAGCTGGGGAATCCCTCAAATCTTGGGACCTCTCTTGAAACATGGGGGAATCCCATGAAAATGTGTGGCATTTACAGGTTCTCTGCACCAACGGAAACTACCCTTTCTGCTAGGGTTGGAGAATAAAGAGGTATTCCTTCTTCCCCCTGGAAATCCCTGTGAGGCTGCGGTCAGCATAGCTACGTCTCCTTCAAAATTAACATCACAAAGATGTTCAGATGCAGGTGCAGGCAGGGTAAAGCTATGTCACATTGGCCTTTCTTTTCTCTTCAGAAACTGGCAGCACTCCGAAAGCCACTCCTGAGAGCTGTCTGAAACACGCCAGGGAAAACTTCTTGACAGCTGCAAGGTCGTTTACATGAGACAAGAATGCAACTTGAGAAAACTCTGAAGCAGAGAAACACAGCGAGAGCATGAACATCGCTGTTCCCACAGAACTACTTCTCTCGCTCTCGGGGCTGCAAAGTGCATGATCTGATGGAAACATTTAAACAGATGTTAACAGAGAAGTCTTATGAGAAAGTTTACACATCTGAAATGTAACTACATGTAAGTAGATGTGAGATGATCAAAATTACTGCAAAACTTTTCAGTGAAGCACTTCAATATTTATGGTGATGCTTTTCTATTGATGCAACGACAAATTCTTCCTTCCTTCCATTCTTCCTTCTGCGGCATTACAGCAAAATCCTGTATAAAATGCAATACTGTATTATGCCATTTCCCAGAAAGCAGAGATGCAAGTAATAGCCCAGCCTCCTCAATACACCACTGCGGAGAGAGTGCAGTCCAGTCCTTGCCAACATCAAGCACGACAGTGTAATAAACACGATGCCTCTCTTTATCAATTCTGCATGTTCTTATAAACCTTGAGACTACGCAATGTGGACACCGACTCCATCCTTTGCAGAGCCAGTAGTTTGGATTTGGCAAAGCTTAGCACTGCAATGCCCAGTATTGCGTTTGCGATGGGAAGTGGCAGCTGATTTAGTTAGCAGTTTATCTTGAGAAGCCGTGAAACAACTGCTCGGTTCTCCCGTCACAGGCAGACAGAAGCAGCGATGTTGGGATTAGCGAATTTCTCCCCGAGAGCACTAGCAGAGATTTGTAAATGAGTAGGGCTGATTTAAAGCTAATTTAATAACCATAGTGCTGCCTCTTCTCAATTTAACTTGTCTGTTCTTTTTGGAAACAGACCAACCTAGCAATCTGTGCCAAGATCGAATTATGCTGGCTTGGGTTTTTATAATGCTTTTTATATTCCCTATCTCAAGTGAGTAATGAATTACATTTAGTTGTACTGAAACGGTTGTGAATACATCTAGTAAAAAGGCACTCTCGGACTCCTCAGCTGCTACAACAATCACAGCAGTACCATTTACCTCACACCCTGACAGTGTTGTGAACGTACTTCTGTATGTTGTTGAGCCAACTTTTCCAAACTGTCTTTGAGTAGTGAAGAGAGCTTTAACGAACGCCAGAGCCAACACCACAGAGGGATAATCACTACTTAGTTTCACATGAGTGAAACAGCCCAGATTCCACCGGTGACGTACAGCTCAATCACCATCATCTTCTGGTCTAGGTACAAAAGCATTATTTTTCCCAGTAATAATGACCAAAAATATCCACATAAATGATTTTATGGAAACCAATATGGTACCTGGCTTGCCTCCAGCTGCACAGACATTGTGCACTGATGCTGGTACACATCTTTTCTTCATAATTATAGGATAAAATGACTTCCATATCATCCTCCTGAAGTTGTATTTCTGTGAACACTCATTAAAGGAGGAAATGATGTAACCGAGACCAGTAGTCTCTGGACAGTCATCCCAAGCACTTCCCTGTTCTAAAAATAAACTCCACCAAATGCTATGATTTTCTAATGCTTTAAATGACGTGTTATTCCCAGACACCAAACCCTGAGTATCTAAAATTTATTGAACTTAATACAGATGTTTAAATGAATTTCTTCTCTTCCCCATGCCAGGAAGAAGAAAAGTAAAGAAACAGATAC